CATGGCAAGATTTGACAGCAGGCAGGAAAGGGAGTTTTAAAGTTCATACATGTCAGCTGAATCTCATCTTCAAATCATTTCCTCTCCATCCTTTTAAAGGTTACATTATAGTAATTATTTTTTCAAGTTAACCATAAAAAATATATGTATTTATTAACTACTGTGTGATGTTTTTGTGCATATACATACAGGCTAAACATGTATGTCCCTTGATTCTTCATGATAAAAGGTGTCTCTCTCTTTTTCAGGGCTTGGGAAGAGAGGGACTCACACTGTAACCCAAGCTGGCCTCAAACTCACAGTGATTCTCCTTCCTCGACTTCCTGGGCTCTGGGCTTACTGGGGTGGGCCACCACATTCAGCTAAAAGTGTTACTTTTGAAAGGGTTGTGTGGTGCTGACAGCCTGTCCTCAGTTGTTTTGCAAAACAGCTGCGGTAAAGGCCAGTCCCCCCCCTCCTCCCCAGCCCACCTGTCACTGCTATAAATGAGCAGAGTTTCACAGTCCCCAGGGACTCTCAGCATGAATGCTGGGTTTCCTCATGATTTATAGCTGAAAACAGCTAGAAACTGTTCTGTCTCAATCAATTCAGCTCAGATTGCTGAAAACCGTTTTGACCATCTTCCCTAAATTACAAACCCTAAACATTTCTCAACTCCAAACCAAAGCTTTCAGAGTTGCTAAAACAATGTGACTGGCATTCAACTAAATCCCCAGAGGAGGAAAGACTACCTTCTTACAAAATGCCAAGGCTAGAAACTGTTACCTGAGAAGCAGGCTCTTGACAGATGGAGATGACAGTCTACAGGTCAAGATGTTCTCTGGGATATTAGTGCCTCAGAATAGAATTCACTTAGCAGGATAAAGAAACCTAATCGGCAATGTAGGAAATGAACATTTTTGTTCCTGTAAGCTAAGCCACCTGGTGACTTCTATTCAAATCTTCTGGGGTTTATAACTAAATATTAGCCTGTTTCCTTTCTGGAAATGACAGGATCCACATGCTACAGGGTGAGGTCCTGTCTTGGCTCTTCCTCTGCCTTCATTACCTTTCTTCTCCCATCATGTAGATCCTGTAAAGTATGTGTAGTGTGTAAAATCATAGTCGTAAGTCATTTTGACATTGTTTGGTTCCATTTTGATAAGAATGTTTGGCTTGTAAGTATTCAGGGGCTTTTCAGTAGTTTCACTATGCCAGTACTGACCTGACTGAAAATTATGCAGTAGCTCTCAAGCTTCTAATCACACTCTCAGGGGGCTGAAGGCATGCAGTGTTATTCATTACTGCATTCAGAAAGATGCAGCTGCATTTGCAATTTCTGACCAGATCTCTGGCATCTCGAGGGGCAGAACCCTGTAGGGAAAGGGGCAATGGGTTGAATTCATCCACAGGACAGTGATGAGGCCTTCACGGCCTCATTAACATGTCCCTAGCAAAAGGTTTGGGGACTTTGGGCCAAAGAAACCAGAAGACACCTACAAATGTCATCATGTGAAAACTTTTATTTAAATTGATGGTAGCCAGAAAACAGATTTTGAATGTTTCCAGCACAATGAAAAGGAAACACTCCAGACCATGGGTTTGCTTACTATCCTGATTGACACTATTTATGTTATTGTATATACGTATAACACACAATACCCCTTAAATATATACTATTATGTGTGAATTAAAAATAATTTAAAGTTGAATGCAAGCATATCCATATCTATCACTATGCACCAAACTCAAGTCTAAGTGGATCAAAGACCTCAACATAAATCCACCCACACTAAACTGCATGAAAAAGTGAGGCCAGGTGTTGGTATCACACTCCTTTAATCCCAGCACTCCTGAGGCAGAGGCAGAAGGATCTCTGAGTTTCATGCAAGCCTGGTCTAGGACAGGCTCCAAAGCTACAGAGAAACCCTGTCTCGAAAAACAAAACAAAAGCAAGGGGAGGGGGAGTACCCTTGCATGCACTGGCATAGGAGACCATTTCCTAAATATAATACCAATAAATACCAATAGATAAATGGGACCTCCTGAAATTGAGAAGCTTCTGTAAAGCAAAGGACATGGTTACCAAGACAAAACATCAGTCTACAGAATGGGAAAAGATCTCCACTACACATCTGATGATCTCCAAAATATACAAAAAACTCAAGAAACTAGACATCAATATATCAAATAATCCAATTTTTAAAAAATTGGGTACAGATCTAAATAGAGAACTCTCAACAGAAGAATCTCAAGTGGTGGAAAGACACTTAAGGAAAAACTCAACATCCTTAGTCATCAGAGAAATGCAAATCAAAACATTTCTGAGCCATCAGGATGACTAAGATCAAAAACACTGAGGACAGCTTATGTTAGACAGGATGCAGAGAAAAGGAAACACTCCTTCATTGCTGGTTGGAGTGAAAACTTGTACGGCCTCTGTGGAAATCAGTATGGCAATTTCTCAAAAAAAAAAAAATTTGTAATCAATCTGCTCTAAAACCCTGCAATATCACTTTTGGGCATATCATATACCCATAAGAGGCACACTCACACCACAAGGACATTTGCTCAGCTATGTTCATAGCAGCACTATTCATAATAGCCAGAACTTGGGAACGACCTCAACTGAAGAATGGATAAGAAAAATGTGGTACATTTACACAATGGAGTACACAGTGGTAAAAAAAAAAAAAAAAAAAAAAAAAAAAAAAAAACCAAGCATATCTTTAAATTTGCAGGCAAATGGACAGAACTAGAAGAAGAAAAAAAAAATCCTGAGTGAGATAACCTAGATCCAGAAAGACAAATATAGTATGCACTCACTCATAAGTGGATACCAGACACAAAGCAAAGTGTAACCAGCCTATAATCCACAACCCCAGGGGAGTTAGATTCCCTCTTCCAGAAACAGATGGAAGCAGATAAGCAGATGCAGAAATCCCCAACAAACAATTGGCCAAGCTCTTGGGGTACAATTCAAGTAAGAAAGGAGCGATAATATGAGCAAAGGAGTCAAGACCATGATGAGGAAACCCAGAGTCAGCTGACCTGCACTGTCACTGACTCTGCACTGTTAACTGGGGAAGCGGCATAGAACTGAACTAGAATCCCTGAATACAAGTGACAATGGTGAGGCTTAGGCAGTGGGACCAAGATCTAACTCTAATGCACAAACTGACTTTGTGGAGCCCATTCTATATGGAGAGACACCTTGATCAGCCCAGACATTGGCGGTGGCAGGGGTGGGGGAGTTGAAGTTGCAGGGGTATTGGGGGGGGGGGAAGGATTCCAACTGGGATTGGAATGTAAAAACTAAGTTAAAAAGTAATAATTTAAAGTTAACAACTGTTTTTAAATTCATGATATCAATCTCCATAAGCACTTACGATATCCAAACCATTATAAAAAAGAGAATAATTCATTTGATATGAGTTTTCTCTTGCATTTTACCAGAGTTTTTGCTTATGGCCAGCAATTAGAGCAATGGAGTTATTTGCCAGTGAATTGAGGGAGGAATAAATGAACAAATGAATGAGACCTTCTTCCTTTCCCAACTCACAGTTGCCAGTGCCTGCCTTCCTGCTCTGTTGTCTGCCCTGACCTCTGCTCACACATGAGGACTGTCCAGCAAAGCCCAACCAAGCCTTCTAGCATTGTATTATCGTGTTCAGTGACACACAGGTTAGCTAACTCACTGCAAGCAGCAAGCGCTCTGGATGTTCGCTAGCTAACGGGTGTGTAATTCACAAATGCAGGAAGGTCCTAGGTTGAGATGAGATGTTTGGCCAAGAAGCCAGTGTACAGCTAACAAGGGAAACAAATGTACAGGAAGGAGACAAGGAAATGGGCTCCATTTTGCCTGTGGCGAGGACAGGAAGGAGACCTGGGCCTTTGTCCAAGGCCCAGTATGGCCAGGTGCATCATTTTCAGATCTATTTATTTTTTGATCGCTAACATACATAAATCTCCAGAGTCTTGTTTTTTAAAGACTTCTTTTTGGAGGGAAGGAGAGAGAGGAGGAGGAGGAGGAGGAGAGAGAGAGAGAGAGAGAGAGAGAGAGAGAGAGAGAGAGAGAGACAGAGAGAGAGAGAGAGAGAGAGAGAGAGAGAGAGAGGGAGAGAGAGAGTCATGTCTGTGCAAGTGTCCACACAGAACAGAATCGTTCATCCAGTTCCCAGGAGCTGAAGTTACGGCTGAACTCAGGTCCTCTGGAAGGACAGCAAATTCTTTTAACTTCTGGCCATCTCTCTAGCCCTTAAAATAAATCTTAATTTTTTCTCTAACCCAGTTTTGTGGGGTCATTGTGCATAGTGATATGCCCACACTTAATACATGTCAAACTACAACTAAAGTAATTTGGTTTTTATTACTAGAACACAAAAGTCTTTAAGGTTGAGTTGTCATTATTTCTAGAGTTTACTTGCAAATGGGAGGTGGCAAGGAAAACATGGGTGGAACTAAGGCAACTGTAGCAAAATATAAGTAGTAAATCTATATGGGAAGTAGCCAGATGTTTATGATACTGTGGTGCCAACTTTCTGTAAGCTTGACATCATCCAAAGTAAAAACCAAAAGATGTAAAAGTAAGGAAAAAAGAATAGAGGGTTATCGTTTGCGCCTGAGTAGCAGTGTACTTGCTGTCTTTAAGCCCCTTCTGGAGAGACATGAATAGGAACACCACGCCCTGCCTTCCATGTTCCCCAAGCAGTAAGTGACTATCAGTCATGCTAAGAAACAGAGGACTTTGCAAGTCTTTGGGTCCTGTCCGGGCACACAAGCTTGCAGATAGACTTTGGGAAGAACCAACTCATCCCTAGGTCATTGAGCCACACCTCCTACTGTCCAGATCTCAGCCAATCAATGTGGGCACGCCCTCCTCACTGTTACATATGTATGACCCTGGCTGGCCTTCTGGCTTCTTTTATGCACCAGCACCAGATGTAGGCTGGAATTTGCTCCTGCTTCTGACGCAGGAGAGCAAATCAACTCTTCAGGCCCCTTTCAACATAACCCTGCCTGCAGACTCCCAGCCTCCCAACTCCCTGGCTGTCCCCAGGGACCACTGGCAGCAGCCGGGTCTCATGAAAACCTCAAAGGCATCCCAGCGCTACAGAAGCATCCGGAGAAACACCAGCCAGCGCTATCTCTACCAGGACTCCCTGCTGCTTGGGTGAGTGCCCAGCTGGCTTCTCCAGAATGAATGCATAAACTTACTTTTCAGGAGTCGCCTGAGAGTGGGGTGTCAGTGCTCTGGGAGGGAGAAGCTGCCAGCGGCTGCCTCTTGACCAGAGCTGTATCCTACACTCACTTTGCTGCCCCTCCAAAGGACAGACACACAAAGTCCACACATGGGACTGTAGGGAGAGAGCTGATATTACACCTGTCTGTCACCTCAGATAAATCAGGCGTCTGCTGAAAAGGCTTCTGGTAACTTAGAAGTGGGCAAGGACAGGACCTGATTGTGTTAGGTTTTCATCAGGAATGGTTTTTGTTAAATGCTGAAACCTCCCCTAACTATGAAGAAAAATTTCCTTCAAGGAAATAAACGATGTCTCAATGGGAATGAAGGGAAACGTTTTCTCCTGCAAAAGCCATAGATTATTATCTACACTTAAAAATGTATTGGGTTACATATTAAATATTACTGGAAGGGGGAGGCCCTGTTATATGATGAAAAAGTGTTCTTCTACAAGGTAGCTATGTCCTGGAGGAGTCTGCCCCAAGCATTCACTTAACTCTTTTTATTTATTTTTTTTTTTCAAAAACCGCTGCCTTCTTCTAACTCTCTTGTCTTGGGTTTAAAACAAACGAACAGACAGGCATCTCTGCTGGCACAGGCTTGTGTTTATCTCTTTTACCCTCAGTGTGGAAGAAGGAGTCATTGGGACTCTAACCGTGGCTGGTCACTTTGGTGAGCCTATAATTGACAATGCCCCCCCTCCTCCCGTCAAAACTGCTGCTCCTCAAGAGTGGATTCCAATTTGGGAAATCCACTTCTCCTCTCTCCTTTGGTGTCTCTTACCTTAACAAGTTATTCTTTTTCACTAACAACTGAGGTAATAGAATCCCACAAATGAGTTTCTACGGGTGCTCTCAGTCTATGGACACACACACACACACACACACTATACAGTTGACCTTAGGACAGTCAGATGCAGAAATTACCCAGGAAAGATGCCCTTTGCTGGAAGCAATTCTATAATCAGATTTCCTCCATGATGCCCATTTCCATTCAGTAACTCGGATGACAGCTTTAATGCTGATGAAACAGGGGACAACAATGATCCGGAGCAAATCTTCCAGAATATACAGTTCCAGAAAGATCTCATGGCAAATATCCGTTGCAGACCCTGGACCATGGGACAGAAGTTGCGGGCACTAAGGTGAGAGCTTCCCACAGCAATCAATAATAAATGTGAATTTTACTTTATAATTAAACAGCCACATCCTGCCCAGGAAAGCTGGGGTGAAGAGGGATGTGAGAACTGTGGCCACCTTGCATATGACTCAGAAAAGTCCCAAAGATGCTTGAAGGGATTATCTAGCCTAAGTGTGCATACATATTTGTGTGTTTGTGTGTGTGTGTGTATACGTGTGTGTGCCCACGCGCATGCGTGCACACACGCCTGTGCACACGTGTGTGTTGTTTTGTGTTGGTAGACAGTTTGGGGTTTCTAATAACTTTTCTAAACACTAGATTTTCTCATTGTCTCCCAACTCACAGGAGACAGGGTGAGGGCCAGAATCAAAGAAATATCTCCTTAACTTCCTGCTTCCATCTCTCCTAGGAAGAAAGTCTTTAGTGGTCAGGATATTAGGATATTTTGAATCCATTAGAACATCTGTCTCACCGATGGTTAAGTGCTTAGATGTTTTTAAAAAGTGGCTCAAGAGAGAAAGATGCCATGCAATGGAGTTCAAGTGGAGGGGTTTTTTATTGAGGGAAAATAATCAGAAATGGGACAGGGGATGGGGGAGACCAGCCTCTGGGGACAGGAGCAGCAGGAGAGAGGAAGGAGAGGCAGAGAGAGAGAAAGAGAGAAAGAAAGAGTGAGTGAGAGAGAGAGAGAGAGAGAGAGAGAGAGAGAGAGAGGTGAAAAGGGCCCTTTTAAAAGGAAACATATTGAATGTGCACAGGAGGTGCTCTTAGTAGCAGCCGCTGAGGGTGTTTCTTGTCAGAACTCTAAAAGCCGGCCAGTGCTAATGTCTAAATACTAACAACTTCCCTTCTTGAACTCTATTACCTCTTTGGATCTCTAGCTGTTCGACACTGGACAGGTTTCCTAATTTCTCTAGATACAGGGTCCTCTCTTTAAAGCTAAAGTGGGTGGCAAGCAATGACTCCCACCCCTGCAGCAGTGTTAGTGAAAACATCAACAGCTAAACACTCAGAGTTCTGTCAAAAACACTGCTGTGACATCTCCCAGAATCAGAGCCAGATTATGGAAGATGAAGCCGGCCTCTCCTCTCTCCTCTCATCCCTGTGACATTGGGGATGGAACACAAGGCTTCACACATAACAGTCCATATTTGACTACTGAACTATAGCCCAGGTACCCAGAATTTTTAATATTGATTCAGCGCAATCCTTTTGTCCTCTGAAGTTTGAACTTATTGAACATTAGATGTGCTAATAATCACCGTGGGAGTTAGCTATGTGGTCTATGTAACATGCATGCCTAAGAAGGAGGTGATTGCCACAGATCCCATTAGCGGAGTTGTGGCATGGACTTCATGACTGATGATACTGAGCTGTGGTGGTGAACATTATGTTTAGTGAATAAATTTACGGTGCAGCTGTCCCCATACCTGCTGATCAGGGACCTCCTCTGTACACAGAACTACTGTCATGTCACACTGTGCTCTTCCTGGTGGTTTCCTAGATACCAGTGTGCATTCCTGCCCCTTCATACCTACCATCTATCAGGCTGGTGGATCTTCCTGTCAAAACACCTGTTTGTGAGATTTGAGTCCCAGTCTGACCAACATGCCCCTCTGGCTATAGTGGGTTCTCCTCTGCCTGCTTCCCATGTCTGTTTCTGTGTCTCATCATTGCCATCCTTTAAGGGTGGGTAGCACTATGCCCACTTGTCAGGTGAGAAAGACTGGTTGGAGACATTAAGAAAGCAGCCTGAGCAAACAGCCCATGAGTGCCAAGATCAGCTTTAAACTAGATGCTCTGGGCAAACAGAAGAGATTCTCAGAGAGGACCTAAGGTAGGTGGGGATGGGAACATGATCGATCAGGTTGTGGGCAGGGAGACCAATGGGGTGGTAGTGAAAGAAACTACTGGAAAGGAAGGGCTTTGGAGTCAGGTAAAACCCTGGTGCAAGTGAGACTCAGAAAGACCCCTGCTTACACCCCTAGCAATAGTGGATACATCACCTGAACTGGTCATCTCCTGTGCCTGGACCAATTATCATCAGAGAGGCTTCATCTAGCAGCTGGTGGGAACAGATGCAGAGCCACAGTCAAACACTATCCAGGGAATACTGTAGAAGAGGGGAAGAAAGGACCGGAGGAGTCAGAGAGGTCAAACACAGCACAAGAAAACTCACCAAATCAGCAAACCTGGGCTCATAGGGGCTCACAGAGACTGAATGGACAACCAGGGAGCCTGCATGAGTCTGACATAGGCACTCTTCATATATGTCACAGTTGTGTAACTTGGTCCCCTTGTGGCACTCCTAACAGTGGGAACAGGGGCTGCCTCTGACTCTTTTACTGCTTTTGGGACCCTAGTCCTTATACTGGGTTGCCTTGCCCAGCATTAATACAAGGGGAGGCACTTAGTCTTACTTGATACGCCATGTTTTGTTGATGCTCATGAGAGACTTGCTCATTCATAAACAGAAGTAGAGGAGGAGTGGATCAGGGGATTGTGGGAAGGGACTCGGAGGAGAGGAGAAAGGGGAAACTGGCTGGAATATTAAATAAATAAATAAACAAACAAACAAACATCTATATGCTTTGACCCCAAGTTTTATGTACTCTTTGGAGCAATTAATTTAAAACTAAAGAAGAATACATTCTACCAGAACTTTCAAAGACCATTCAGAAATGACAGCTTTTATCTGAGTAGTGGGAAGTTAAACCGTGTGTGTGTGTGAGGGGGGTTGGGGGGGGTGGGGGAAGGAGAGAGAGAGCTGACCTGTGTGTGTACTAGTAATGCTCAGGTGTCAACAGAAGCCACCATCCTCTGTCACTCCCCACCTTATTCTTTGAGACAGTCTCTCACTGAACCTGGAGCTCACTATTCCTGCTAGACTAGCAGGTCAGTGAGTTCTCAATACCATGTCTCCTCTCCCACACACTTGGAGCTAGACTTACAAATGTATGCTTTTGTGCCCAAACTCAGTATCCAAACTGAGTATCCAAACTCAGTTTCTCATGCTAACACAGTAAAGCAATTGTGATGCTTTTTTTTTTTTTTATGGCCCTCAAAGGGAGTGACAATATTAGGCCTTTTCAGAGGAAGTGTGTCACTGTAGGGGCAGGCTTTGAGGTCTCTTTTACTTAAGCTCTCCTTGGTGTGACTGTCAGTTGACTCTGAGCTCCAGCCCCACATCTGCCTGCATGCCTCCATGCTTGCCCCCATGACAATAATGGACTGAACCTCTGAAACTGTAAGTGATCCAGTGCCAAGTAAATGGATAAGAATTGCCATGGTCATGGTGTCCTTCACAGCAATAAAAAACCCTAAGACAGCAATTCACTCCCGTGAGCCATCTCCCCAGCCCAGACTAAACCTTTTTTTTTTTTTTTTTTTTTTTTTAACATTGAGACCACAGCACAGTAGATGCTTACCATTCTTTCGGATAACTTCAGGAATAAAACACAAACCTGGGTGGCTGGTGGATTCAGTCATGCTGCCTGCCTCACCAGAGCTCCAACAATGTCAGACACAGGCCACACCTCAGGCTGGTGGCAAGGCTCCTTTGTCATTTCCTGTGTCCCTTGAAAAGCTACTGGCACATCGCCTCACTAATTGAACCCACTAATGCTTATCCTGGTGTATGGGGACTGTTCAGAAGGCACTGAACCCTGGCTGTTTAGACATCAAGGAGGGACCCCAACACCTGTCAAAGCTACCCATCTGCAAAGACACAGCTCCCACTTGCTTCCTGTTATGGGGCCTGTGTTGTGCGTTTCTCTCATCTCTCCACACCTGTCATCCTCCACCACCTCTTCTTCATCAGACATCTTTACTGAGTAGGGAGCCCTTCCAGGACAACCCTTTCATGCATGTCTGTATTCCACTGTCCTTGACCCAAAGCAAACGTGCCAACAATACATGCCGGGAACAAAGCTACAAATAGGATGATGAAATTATTTGCTATTTTGACTCTTGCAGTATTTTTTTTTTTGCATGCACACTGTATGTGTGTTTAAAAGATGTCATGGTATTGGCTAGAACATTAACTTTCATCCTTTCTGTACCTGTGATTTTGATCAGAGTAGAGCCAGTGTGGATAGTAGGCTATCACAATGAAGGCATTAAAACTGAGAAGATAGAGCCAGGAGGATAAATAAGTTCAAGGCCATCCTTGACTACATAGCAAGTTTAAGGACTGGGCCACACGCAAGACCCATAATCAACAAAAATAAAATATAATGAATTGCAACTAGTGGAACAGAAGTCTAAAATCCAGAATTTGGTGAAATAGTGATTTGGGGAAGTCACCTTGTCTGTAGAAATAGGAATTGACTTCTCCCTGATGCTTCTAAAGGAACACGTATAGTAGATTTTATTAGGACGGCTTGGGGAAGCACACACAAGAATGTCATATTAAATAGATCTGTCAAACCCACAAACTGTCTGACTGAGAGGAACTGAGTGTAACCCCACAGAGAGGCTGATCATCAAGTGTGGGTGAGTATCTCTGCCTTGGGTTGTGCTTCATTAGGATTGAAGCTCTAACATCAGCCCAGCTCATGGCACTAACACTCAATGTTACTCATTCAGTTGCTATTTTAACCATAACTATCCTGATGAATTCAGCCCATTGTGTGGATGGAAATGTGCATATTTGTGTGTGGGGGGGGGGGGAGAGAGAGAGAGAGAGGAGAGAAGGCAGGTTCATATCTGTGTACCTACTGTGGAAGCTAGAGGATGGCCTCTAAGGCCATGCCTCAGGATTCTCTCAATGTCATTTTAATATACAAGTTTCTCACTTGTCTGGAACTGGCCTCACCAAGCAGGCTAGGTCAGCTTGCCTGTTTCCAGTACTGAAATTCCAAGTGGTCACCATCACATCTGGATTAATATGTGTATTTGGGAGATTGAACTCTTGTTTTCATGCTTGTAAGGAGAGTATTTTATTGACTAAAATCATCTGTCAAGTCTGGATCAGGTTCAAGGCCATGTAAACACAACTTTGTTACACTCATTAACTTGACAGTGCCCCTTTCTTGAAGCAGGCTCCTTAAAAAAAAGGGGGGTGGTATGGCTTTCCCTACTAAAGACGTGACTGAAAGGGGCTGGAGAGATGGTGATCTTCCAGAGAACTCGGATCAATTCCCAGGGCACACAACAGCAGCTTGCAATGGTCTGTAACTTCAGTCCCAGGGGTTCTAACTCCCTGACTTCCACTGGCTCTGCATTCGTGTGGTACATAAGCATATATGCAGACAAACACTCAAACATGTAAAATAAAAATAAAATTTCAAAAAATGTAATAAAAAAGTGCCTGGAAGAGACAAGTGTCAAGTGGAGGAACTGAGGTATATTGTCTGCTCTCAGGATACCCAAGGCCTGTGATCCCCAGCCAGCCACCAACCAAAGAAGCACGTGGTAAGAAATTGAGTCATAACTAACTGGTGTGGATTCACTATTTCCAATTAGTTCATCCACATAAATGTTATGACAGTTGTAAAATGTGTGTGTGTGTGTACAAGTGTGCACAAACACATTTGCTCTCTGAAGCACACTTGCATGATTTTAGGTGTGCCATGTGCGCACAGGTATCTGTGGAAGTCAGAAGAGGGCATCCAATCCCCTGGAATTGGAATTATAAGTGGCTATAAGTCACCATTAGGTGCTGGGAACAGAACTCTGGTCCTCAGAAAGAGCAGTAAGCAGTTTAACTGCCAAGCCACCTCTCCAGCCTCTTAAAATAGTTTTAAAGGAATTTTCTTGTTAATGAAATATTTTAGTTGTACTCCTGCATCAGTCGGTGCTCTTTTCCTACTAAGTCTTCATATATTTGAAAAATGGTGAGCGTGGTGAAGTTGTGGTAACATTTACATGTTTCTTCTCTCAGACGAGCAAAGGAGATTGTACTGAAGTTTGAAGGGAGGTTGACTAGGACCCGAGGCTATCAAGCAGCAGGAGCAGAGGTAAAGAGCACACATAAGGCACAGGTGGCCTCCCTTCCTTCTGTCTCTGGAGTTCAGAAGCTGCCATAGTCCCAATCATTACATGTGGGTTAGGAGCATCAAGCATTAACAACTACAGAAAGGGGGATGAGGCAGCAAATTTGAACTCTTCCAAACCTGAATCTTAGTCCTGGGGATCACCAGTTATCAGCTGTATAATATACGTAAGCCTGGTTCATTTTTGTGAGAATTATCCAGGACCCTTCCTGATTTATCCCCATACATCTAAGTGCATTTGCGTCATCCCTATATTTGGCTGTATCATTATAGCTTTCACATTGAAATCCTCAGAAAATTAAAAATGGGAAAAGGACTGGGTGCCACTCCTGATATCTGCTGCTGCTTCTACAGATGGCCAATTGCTGCCAAGGAAGGAAAAGAACTTCCTGACGAGACAGATGTATAGTGGAACTAGAGCTCAGGTCTCTGACTCCTGCCCTGTGCTTCCTTGCTGTAGGACTTTAAAACAGTGCAGAGGCCTGATGTTTACTAAGGCCAGGCCTTCGCTAAAGGATGCTTGAGCAGTCTGGAGACCATAGGGATGGGAGTGGTCAAAAAGTTTCCTGTATTTCTGGGCTCTAGATATGAGGTGTGTAAAGTGCAGATGATGCCAGATAGACATAAGAAAATTGGAAGCAAGACCTGTGACCCCAACAAGAATTTAGAGACAGAGATATCTGTTCCTGGCTACTCACATACAGTCTGTGTGATCGCTCATGGAGTAATGCCTGTCTTTGACTTGGCTCTCAAATCTTGAGCTAGACAATTCCAACTTCTAATAAAACTCAGATTTCCATGGGCAAGCAGCCGTCTGGCCTTAGCAGATGCACCCTGAATGACATTATCCTGCGAGCCTGTGTCAGGACCGTGTGCTGTCTTACAGTTGGGAATGTAGTAATTACATTTGTAACTCTTCCTTGTGCAATGATATCATTTGCTTCCAACACAAACCCGGACTGTTTGTGTGTTAGAATGTACAACCTGTCAATTTTGCTGGAGAGCAGAGCCAGTATAGGCCACATTCTGCCTTGTTCTCCTTTGAGAGAGAGAAGAATGATTTCATACTCTTGGCAATTATATACTAAGTCCACAAGACAAAATTCCCAAGCTTATTTTTGGCAGCTTCGACCAGGACAAAGGCCAGGAACTAGCTTATAGAATGCAAGATGAATCTAGGGTGTAGCTCATTTTCAAGGAAGATTCTAGATTTTTGGTCTATAAACAAGGGTGCAGATGGAATCATCTGGGTGGCTGGTGACTCAAGCAGATCTATAGGCTACACTTACAAAGCCATTAGGTGTCTACACCTACACCTACACCTACAGCTGGGTCAAATGACTCCCTTAAGATGACATTCTTCATGTGATTTCCACTTCCCTAGCTCCCAGCCCATAAATAAGGCAGACTGTGACTCAAAAGAATCTAGATCTCAGGACTGGGGTATAGCTCAGTTGGTAGAGTGGTTGTCGAGCATGTGCAAAGCCGTGATCTCAGTCAACATCACATTAACTGGATCTGGTGGGGTACCCACACTTGGAAGACAGAGACAGGAGGATCAGAAGTTCAAGGTTATACTTAGGTACATAGTGAATTTGAAGTCAGCCTGGCATGAGTCTGTCTCAAAAAAGGAATGCAGATCCCATAGCGCAACGTGAAAATTGGTCAGGACACAGGGAAGATAAGGGGCTACTTTGGTCTTGGAGGTGTTTAATGGCCTGTGAAACCATGATTAAAGGTTCTGTGAATGTGTCTGGGAAGCTCTTCTCTACCCAGAACCCCAGAGCTCTAGTTTTTACCTAGGTTATGAATGAGAAGTTTTCTAATCATGTCCTCTCCTGTCTAGCTCTGGCGGAAGTTTGCCCGTTTGGCCTGTAACTTTGTGGTCATCTTCATCCCCTGGGAAATGAGGATAAAGAAAATTGAGAGTAAGTATCCACTGGAGGAGTGGAAGGAGGAGGTGCAGCTGTGGCCAGCACACAGCCTAAGACATCTGGTAGGCCTTGGCCATTATGGCATAAAGTCAGCCAGGGCTCATGTACAGCTAGAGGCTCTGCTCATGTGGGACTCAGAGATGGGAGACCTGGTGCCCTCACCTGAAGAATACCTTTCTCCATCTGATCTGGTCCCATTGGACCAATTTCTCTCTGCCCACCCAGTCTCCACAGTCTCCACTATGGAATAACCACTCTGAAGCTTAATATCAGTTATAATTGTTTGGCCAATGACTTAGGCTACTTATTGGCTAGCTCTTATAAATTAATTCATTTTTACTAGTCTGTGTATCACCACATGGCTGTGGCTCACCTAGGTGATGCTCCAGCATCCCGTCTCCCCAGCAGCTATGTGGCGTCCCTTGACACTGCCTTCCTTCTCTTTATATCTTGGTTTGGATTGCCCGTCTAACTACATTCTTCCTGTCCATTGGCCAAAACAGATTTATTCATCAGCCAATAAGAGAAACATATAGTCACAACATATAGAATGACATTCTACATCATCACTCACCACCTCCCAGAATGAGACAAGTCCCCATGCTGTATTTCTACATTCAGCCATGGCCCCATGTTCATTTCTAGTACATTCATTCAGTCATACAGCAAACTCTAAAGGATCAGTGAAAATCTGTAAGAAGTAAGATGATGACTTCCAGATGTAAGTATGAAAATACATACTTTTATAGAAGACCATAAGCATTTAGAAAATCCATGCCAAAAATAGTTAAATAATGCCCCAAATCTCTTTCTCCTTCTAGCCCACATGCACAGAGAAATAAACAAACTTTGAAATGTCCCAAACTGAAGAAAAGCAAGAAGCTGGAACCAAGATGATGAATGTCCTTTAGAAGAGACAGGGAACATTTATTCAAAGTTGTAGACTTTCCCAAAAATCAATTCCCAAACTTAAGGTGATTCTACAAATATGCCCAATGTATTACTTAGAGTCCTTGATCACATGATCACAAAATGCAAGAACAAAAACTTCGAAGAGATAAATTTGGAGACAGGAATAAGAAAATATTCCCAAGAAATTACATGAACAAAAGGTTAAAATAAAATATATTATTAAACAGCACAGAGCAGAGCAGCACAATGGAATTCAATGGACTAGGCAAACATTTCAGAAACAGATAAGAATGTAAACCATTCCTTCTGCATCCAACTATTTCTGGATTCAATAGAAGTCACTCTGTAAATATTGCTGGGACAATTGATTCAGCTGTTTCCAAGAGTAAAACTAGTCCATACATTCTAATATTCTATTAAATAATATGAATCTATAGTCAGAAATCATGAAAATCATTAAAGCAAATATAAGAAATGAGATCTTAGCATGGATGATGGGATATGCCATTCTGTAAATATATTTCTTGTATTGGTTAATGAATAAAGCACTGTTGGCCAATAGGAAAGTAAGATAGGCAGGACTAGGAGACAAGGAGGATTCGAGGAAGTAGTAGGGAGGAATCAGCATGGAGAGACTGGAGAGAACAGAGGTCTTGGCCCACTCTCCGGTAAGGTGAGACCACGTGAAAATACTTAGATTAATAGAAATGGGTTAATAATTAAGACAGAGCTAGCCGATAAGAAAGTAGCACCTGGCCAACAGCATATATCAAATACAGAGTCTCGGTGTGTTAATTGGGCCTGGCATGGTGGTGGGACCCGCGGGACCAGACTGGCAGGGAAACCCTTACTCATAAAATATGGCGCCACAACGTGGCTAATAAGAACTTCCACTTAAAACTAAGAAAAGCTAAAGAAATGGTTTTAGAAACAAAAGAACAAAGACAAGCAAGGCTTCTTGATAGGACCATGTTTCTCAGTTGAATTCTGTTTTGCTAGAGACAAGCAGAGACTTGTGTGGCTCCTTTAAGGGAGATTTCCTGACTCCGAATAAGCAGCAAAAAACTGCAAGGCTTTTAAAGAGCTCTACTAGCAACTGAATGGTGTGTACAAGAGTTGGCAATGGCAGTGACCACATCTCCAAGCCGGAAACATGCTGCTGGGTGCAGCGTAGACCAAGGCAGTGAACTGCACAGCTCTCAGTGCTGGTGGTAAAATTACCTGCCGCCATCTTGGATAGACCGCTACTAATACAGCTATGCCTTTCATTTTAGCAATGTTGTTGTTTGCCAGATAAAGACGTGTGGCCAGAAAAAGATAAAGATTTACAGTAAAGACAGATTCACATTAAGAAAAAACACTAAACATTTACAGTGTGTTCTAAAATATATGTAGGCTTGGAAGAGAAAAGGAATAAAATGGTTTTTAAAAGACAGCGAGGGGCTGGGTGTGGTGGCACATGCCTTTAATCCCAGTACTCAGGAGACAGAGAAAAGCAGATCTCTGTGATTGCAAAGTAAACCTGGTATGCACAGTGAATTCCAGGACAGATAAAAGTTACACAGAGAAACCCTGTCTCAAAAAAATGAAAAAATAAAAAAGTAAAAGAAACAGAGTAATAAAAAAGCCAAGTAAAGATGGAGAGAATCTGGATACTATACAGTATTATATTGTCTTTGTATCATTTGACTGCTGAGGAAATAGCAACAACTGTTAAAACAAATGCTGCTGGATCAATCCAATTTATATATTTTAAAAATGCTTTGACTTCAAAATTTAAGTCTAAGGACAAGTTACTGGGGAAAAGGATTTCTATTTTTGTTTCCACAGAAAATGAAAAGTTGTGGATTCCTTCCAAACTAATGTGGTTTGATTAAGCCAGACCCCCTGAAACAGAGTGGCAGGTGATCCAACATTCAAAACAGTTGGGACATAGCAGCCTTGCAGACTACAGCCAAGATTTCTGCATCTTCTTAGGATCCCCCCATGACAGGGCCCCCTATCAGCAGGAAGCAGTTTGGAAAGAACAACGCCCAAATTCCCAAATATTGTTTATAAATGTTTGTTTTCATTTAAATGGGCTTGGTTATAAATGGTTAATGGCAACAACCAATCACTTTTTAAAGGTAAAAGGGGATTATGGTATAGATATGAATACTTTGTTTTGGAATGGATTGTATCATTTATTGATACAATTTAAAGTCAATTTTGTGATGTGTATATTTCTCCTGTTGTTTAGGTATTTTGTTCATATAGCTCATTTAGAAATGTAAAGTATAATTTAATACAGATTTTAGATAGTTACCTATGATAGTCAAAACTTAAGTTAGTTAGGATGTCTAGATATATAGAGATGTATTTAAGATGAATAGGCATTCTTCAAACCTTTCAAAGACCTACAGAATATGGCATTTAAAATGGTTTAGGGTTTTTCTTGACAGTGAGGCACAACTGCTCCTGGCAACACTACCTGCATCAGAAAGGAAGATGGACATCGAAGAAACATGTATGGAGTTTTCTTCCAATATGGCAAGACTATCCATTTGGACAAGATACTACTCTTGTCTGGACTGTTTGACATGCAGGACCCACAGAAAAGTGACTGCTGATTCAAGATGGATATTGCTACAGAGTTCCTGTTTCATGAAAGAGTCTGCCAGACAGGCTGCAGGACACAGAGAAAAATGACTGACAAACTGCCAGTACAAAAAGACAGTTTAAAGTTTCCTGCTTTGCAGAAGAGTCTGCCAGACACACTATGGCCTATGGGCTGAAGATGAAACATTACAGAGGAACCTCTGGTGACTGACCAGGCAGTGAGTTGTCTCTGTCATTTCTAGAGTTTATATACTATCCTTCTGTGGTCTTTGAAGGAGTTGAAGACAGATAGGTATGGTTATAGTTTTCCTTAGTTAGGATTAAAGATAAGGTACATATAAGACGTTAGACTCACGAAGATAGGGTAGATGATGAAATATTTCTTTAAATATTACTAAATGTTAATGGACTAAATATTGTTAACTGTGATTCTTATTTGATAACTGTTGTGTGATATATTTTACTATGTTAAAGTTAAAACCCTTCTTTATATTTTAGACAGGAAAGTGGAGATGATGGGAGATGTCATTCTGTAAATATGTTTCTTGTATTGGTTAATGAATAAAGCACTGTTGGCTAATAGGAAAGCAAGATAGGCGGGACTAGGAGACAAGGAGGATTTGAGGAAGTAGTAGGGAGGAGTCAGCATGGAGAGACTGGAGAGAACAGAGGTCTGGGCCCACTCTCCGGTAAGGTGAGACCATGTGGAACTACTTAGATTAATAGAAATGGGTTAATAATTAAGACAGAGCTAGCCGATAAGAAAGTAGCACCTGGCCAACAGCGTTATATCAAATACAGGGTCTCTGTGTGTTAATTGGGGCTGGCACCGCCGTGAGACCAGGCTGGCGGAAAACCTACTCATAACACATGGAGACCTATTTAATCATAAAAGTGGAGGGGGAAATTATCTAGAAAACTGCTTTTTAATTTAATTATTGGGAAATATTCTTTAAAGATTTGTTTATTTTCAAGTGTGTGAGTGTATTACCTGCATGTATATGTCTATGTACCACGTGTGTACATTACCCACAGAGGCCAGAATAGGGTGTCTGGAAGTGGATATGGTTGTAAGCCCCCATGTGGTTGCTGGAAATCATACCCAAGTCCTCTGGAAAAGCAGCAGATGCTCTTAGTTGCTGAGCAATCTCTCTAGTCTCAGAAAATAGATTTCATTTGCATAAAAAATCAAAAGCTGGATGGAAAGCTAGAAAACTCATGTCCAGGGAATTAAATGTTCTCTTACCTTTAAATTGAAGGAAATGTGTGTATACAGAACATTACAGACTTTCTACATACCCTTTATCCACCTTCCCCAGTCATTAATACCATGGTATTTTTACTGTTGAAATTAAAACAAAGGACCTTGGAGAAACCTTGGAATGTGCAAAGTGATTCAAAATAGGACAGAAGTATAGGAAAGTCTCAGAAGTTGCTAACTTTCCAAAAGATACATGAGTTAGCGAATTTGACTCAGCACGTTAGCTGAGTACAGTAGTGGGGATATTGTCAAACAGTGGTCTTGGTAAACTAGAGCTAGTCTTTCTGTACATAGGGTGGGAGGCCAGGCACAGGATGCTGGCCCAGCCAGGGAGGGTCATCACTGTGATGCTGTGGGTGAGGGCGGATGGCAATGATGCTGGCTGCAGGCTTTCTGCACTGTGACAGTTGAACAGAGTCACTTTCAGCGTTGTCTTCCCACAGGTCACTTCGGATCTGGTGTGGCCTCCTATTTCATCTTCCTGAGGTGGTTATTTGGAATTAACATAGTGCTCACAGTGATGACAGGTGCTTTTGTTGTCATTCCTGAGGTAAGAGTTGTCCCGGGAGCAGGGAGGTGCAAGGCATGAAAGAGCTATAGGGGCAACAACCTGCTGCCCTCCCTCATTGTTACCATACGAAGGCTAGGATGGACAAGGCGAGCACAAAAACGCAGTGAACGTGTCAGACTTAGTCACCACTACTTAGATTTGTGGTGTGTCCCAAAAGAAGAGTTGGGTGTGGCAGAGACCAGTGAGGGTGGCTGAAATCTGAATTTCATATCATGTTGTTTTTCTTTTGATTATTTTCCCCAACCACTTAGTGATGGAAAAGTCATTCATATCCATATCAGTTCATACAAGAAGAGATGACACACTGTAGTTGGTCAAGATGCTGGCTTGCCAGCCCAGTATTCCATTTAAACTCCTTCCTTATAAATAGAACTATTCATTTCCTCAGGGCATAAGAGGTCTGGGGACCTCACTGATCTAGCCATAGAGGTCACTTCTAGTTCTTTTTTTTTTTTTTTTTTTTTTTTTTAACATGGGTTTACACAGGCAAGCAAACCCTAATCATGGCATCTTTATAGGCACATGGGGATCCACCATTCCTCTTATCTGGTCCCCTGGCCTGAGGAACATGTCAATCCTTTCTCTCTTACCAGCTGATTGCAGGCCAGCCCTTTGGAAGTACAGCCAGCAAGACCATCCCCCAGGAACAGGTCATGTCTGCACAGGATCTGGACACTGTCTGGTCCCTGGGGGTAAGGCTAATGTTGGCTACACACAGGCCTTTTGGAAGGGCTGAAAGGGCCACAGTTCCAGGATCTGGGAGACAACTTTTTGCTCTCTGTACAGGGCTACCTTCAGTACTCTGTCCTGTTCTACGGGTACTATGGAAGAGAAAGGAGGATTGGGAGAGCCGGCTACCGCCTGCCCTTGGCATATTTCCTGGTGGGGATGGCAGTGTTTGCTTACAGCTTCATCATTCTCTTAAAAAAGTATGACTATTGATTTATCAAAACCATGCTTGGAGTTCTGTTAGAACATGTGTGATCTCACTTCATCCTGTCAATAGCCCTATGAAACTCATGAGTCACTGTAGCCAGTTTTTAGAGGAAGAGACCAAGGCTCCATCAAGGGTTACATGAATTTCAACCAGCAGTTACTGTTCACTAACTACTTTATGCAAGGCACTGTGAGGGGTTTGGAGAGACAAGCTTAGCAATTAATGTGTGGTATGTGATTTTAGAAAATGCCATAGCTGCACTAACAAGGTATGATTAATGGCATCTATGTGACTAGAGGTAGAAGAAAGCAAACAGCTCTCTTTAGTTCTATGTTTACAATTTCTCCCAGAGCCCTCTGGCTCACTTTTCCTCTTTGCAAACATTGGCTCAAAAAAGCACCAGGCTCCCAGGCTCCCTTCAGGTTAACATACTTTGCTTCTGTGTAGAGCTATTGGGGGGGGGGTGCGGGGAGGGAAGGAGGGAAAGAAGGAGAGAGAGAGAGAGAGAGAGAGATGTGAGTTGACAAAGGAACACCAAGCCTAGAGAGAGCCTGGCCCCCATTATCTCAGCTCATATCTTGCGTCTACTTCGTGCTGTCACCCATTTGTCACCCTGCCCCCCACATCCAGTGTTGTGGCAGCAAAGTGCACTTAGAGGTGGTGTTTGGGGTCAGAAACTACACAGCAAATAAAATGCAAACCCACGAAATTTGAAGAGATATACAGTGATTTGCAAGGGCTCTTCAGATGACTGAATGCTCTCCAACTTAGTGCCCGATGGCCCCAGGACCCCACCAGAGCAATTTCAATCCTTTACTCTTTAAAAGCAACTCAGAGCAGATGTGAGAGCAAGAAATGTAACCAGGGAAGAAAGTCAATGCTTATTACTGGAGGTACGGCCTAAAAGGCAGAGAGAGGGAACTCCTGCCTTCAAATGTCTAAGGAATGCTTGTGTAGGAGGGACTGAGCAGTTCTTAGGAATCCCATTGGAGGAGATACGGCAGGCAGAAGCTACAGGATCAGCTGATCTCAGAGGAATGGTGACAACTTTACCATCACAGCTGCAGACATGAGATGTCTTGGAACACCTCAATGGCTGCTGGCTACCACAGTGCTGGTGGGACTGCCTATCAGATGGACTCATGGGACAATTACCATGTCCATTTTCATACTGGTGAAAGGATGGGCTGAGGGTTCAAGTGTGGTTAAAGTGTGGCCAGTGCTCTGCTCACCAAGCTGGTGCCGAGGAGCTATGTCAGAGGACAGTTTTGCCCAGGTCCCACAAAGTTTCCGGGTCAGGTTGTGGCACTTTGGAAAGAGTGATCCCATCCCTGAGACCCACTCCTATGACCTGACTGGGGCCTTTCTTGCAGAATGGCTAAGAACTCTCGCACCAGCCTAGCTAGTGCCTCCAATGAAAACTACACCTTCTGCTGGCGGGTGTTTTGTGCCTGGGATTACCTCATTGGGAACCCAGAGGCAGCAGAGAGCAAGACAGCTGCCATCGTGAACAGCATTAGGGTAAGTAAAGGCAGCACCATGGAATCCAGATTGTCAAGACAGCAAAACAGTCTGCACCCCCTGCTGGCTAAGCCGCATACCCCATTTCCTCAGAGCCAGGGCAACAGACCCAATGAGGTCAAAGCAACCCAGAAATGCACAGCAAGAAGCCATAGGATGTGAAAACAAAAGACCAAAAGGACTCTTACTTGTGTATATTGTTTCATCTTTAATTTTTGATTCTTGTATTTTTATAATTTACACGATGGATTTGTAAAGCCTATAAACGAATAAATATTTCTACATGATGTATATAAAATTATCTTTAATTTAGAAGTCAATATGATCGAAATCATCCCTCTTATTCCCCCCCTTATTCTGAGGGGGAAATGTTTCCATGATCCAAAGTGTCACAGCCTTTTCTCTCCATTCTTTTGTTTAACTAATTATTAAAGAATTGATATCTAATTCATCCATCGCTGTCAATAGAAACTTACACAAGAAAGTCATAGACATTGACAATAAGAATTAAGATAATAGATCAGTGTTTGGGGGCAAGGCTGGTTTTGTTGATGTTCTTGTTTTTCATTTTGCTTTTAGACCCAGGCTGGCCTCACACTTAATGTGTAGTCAAGCAGCCTAAGGGCTTGGGATTACAGGGTGTGCCACCATGCCCAGTTGGATACATTATTTCTCGTGATTATAATTGGTTATGAGGCTAAGCTTCTAAGCTTCTAATGTTTTTCTTTCCAGGAGGCCATACTGGAAGAGCAAGAAAAGAAAAAAAACAAAAACATGTAAGTATTTATGTGCTCATCCGCTAATTTTTGCCTTATTTGCACAAAGAGTTATCAAGTTATCAATGTCTTATTTTCATAATTGTTAGGCAGCTCCTCCTCCTTCTTATTGTCAGTAATATTAGTAATGTGACCTTCAGGAATCCCATTCCTTGTCCATTCTTTAGGAGTGGTTCCTTCTTCTGTACCTGCAACACCTGGACAGGGCATCTGAAACAGACCAGTTTCCTGTTCTTTTACTCATGTAATAAAATGGCTATTTTTAGTAACAATTAGACATGTGAGTATCATTAGGATTAATTTTATTTAGAGACAAACCTTTGAGTTCCTAAGATACAAGGAGAATCCCATCCAAAGCCATAGCTTTCCAAGATGGCCTCTTAGGCAACAGCTTTGTCATGGGATCTGTAAACAGAGACCCAAGGGAATGGAAGGGTCCTGCCATGAAGGGGCAATGGCCCTGTCCTCATCAAGACAGACAAGTCCACCTGTCCCGTGTCCTTGGTGGTTGCATTGTCCAGTTCAGTTAAATTGTGGCTACTGGCTATTGGGGAATGATGGGAGCCAGAAAGAACTGTACCCAAGCAGCTGGGAGAGGTAGATTCTAGCCCTCCCTGGCACAAACCCCAGTGGCCCAGAGAGATGACCTACATTTCTTCTCCAGTAATTGGCAGGATGGGCCCCATCAGGACTCCCAGAGGCTAGAGAACAAACCCACCACAATCACTACAGTCTCTGAAATCACAGACCTCAGTTTGGGTTAGCATCCCTAGCAATAGGATGTCTATGTCTTTATCATTCCAATCAAATGATTTAAATGACCCCTGGAATTTGGACATGATAGCCACCTTTAAGTTCATTCTAGATCCAAGAGGTCTTACTTTACTGGAGAGCCAAGGAGGAACCAGTTTTCTCATTCTTCTTCAGTAAGTCCCAGTCCTCCTCCTTTTACTCAGAGGAAGACAGAGATGCAGCAGGGGCTCAGGACCAGAGGAGATGCAGAGAAAGAAGGGATTACCATGTGTACACTTGGCCCCAGGCCCAGCATGCCTTGACTGGTGTGACCACCAGGAAGGATGCAGGTGCATGGCCACGGGGAGCCAGCCACTGCCTCCTCAGCACCTTCCTCCTAACTGGTGCCTTGTGAGTAGTATTATCCTGGCAATGATGACTGTGTGCTCTAGAGGCAGAGGATGGCATTGGTGGACCCCGGCTCTTCTGGTGTTTTCCTTCCCAGTACTCTACAGTTCTGGGTCTACAGTGTTCCCCTTCCAAAGGAATAACGCTGTCATTTAGAGTACTGTGTTTTCCTTTTTATTATTTTTTTAACCTGGAAGATACCATTCACCATTTCATTTAGGAGTCAGTTTCTTTTATGTGAATGAAGGGCAAAACTATACACAAAGGGAAATATCTTGACCTGCCCCAGCTCCCTAGTACTGTGATTTCATAGGAGGAGTGGTATAATTCTTGTGTGCCCCTACAAATCATCTTGGCCCTTACTCTTTCCCCAGGCAGAGTTATGCAAGCTTGTTCATACCTAGGCTAGCTACCCCAGTGCTGCTCTGGGAAGTACTCACAAGGTCCTGGTCCACACTTAGTACTGTCGTCCACAGCAAGGTACACTCTGGGAGAATCACCCAATGCCACAGAAATGGAATGAATGCTTTCCTCTTGAATTCTGGGTACACTGGGAGCATCCCATTGCCCTGAGCGGACCTCCAGCTGTGGCAAACTCTACCACTTACCCAGCCTTCACTCCTGCTTGCTGGAATTACTTCCCCAGTCATCTCCCTGCATATAAACATTTGACTGGAGCTCTGGTTTCCCACTGGTCCCCAAACAGGCAGAAGAAAATGTTTTGGACACAGACCAACCAGTCATATGGCCAGTACTTACAAAAGGTGGGGGGGTGTCCTATGTAAATTCTAGAATCACTGATGGTTTCTTAATCTTCTCACACTGTCTGAGGAAGTGTAACCAAACAAGGGAGGGGATGTTCCCAAATCCCATCTCATGGTGACTGAGTTGCTGGTTCATCTGACAAATATGGATGGATTATTTAGGTGTACTGGGAAGAGCTATCCTTAGAGCCATGAACTTGGAGAAGAAAGAGATAGACAAGATTCTGAGACCTCACATAACCCAGGGGAAAAAAAAATAACCTAGTAACCAAGTAAATACATGGCAGATGTCAGACTCATGGTGTGGAATGATGGGTCCACCAACTCTCTTCTGAAAGACAGGAGGCCAGTCTCTCCCCTCCATCCCATTCCTCTTCTGCTGGAAGCTTTATGTGAATTCCTGTCTGCATCACAGGACTCTAATGTGTGTACATGGGGGTGGGAAGGGGGGAGTGTGTGTATATATTGGTTACCGTAGGTGTGAATACACATGCATAGATGCTGGGCGTCTTTCCTCAATCCTGTCTACCTTTATGGTTTGAGACCTGAAGCTCATTTCCCTAAGCTCACTGGCCAGTGAGCTTTAGGGATCTGCCTATCTGCCTCCCCAAAGCCAAGTGCTGGGGCTAAGTACACTCCACTTTGCTTGGCATGTTTTAAATGTGGGCTCTCAGAATCCAAACTCAGGACCTCAGGCTTGTGTGACAGGCACTTCACAGCAGAGTCACCTCCCGGCCCCTGTAGGACTCCAATTATAAGTGACAACCCTGGAACTGAAACCCACATACTCGGATCCTAAACCAAATGTTTGATGGTTTCATAAAGGTCCCAAGCTGCTGGCTAGCTAAATTTACAACTCTGTTGATTTCTCAGAATATGAGAAATTGGAGGTGGAAGAAGCAGAGGGGATTCTAAGAAGGGGAAATGTCCCTTTCCTAAAGTCCCGTCATCTGCATCCTGGTGATGCTTCTCTTTGCAGGGCAGTGACTGTCTGCCTGAGAATCATTGCCAACATTCTGGTGCTCCTGTCACTGGCTGGGAGCATCTATCTCATCTACTTTGTGGTGGACCGGTCCCAGAAATTGGAGCAGTCAAAGAAGGAGCTGACACTTTGGGAAAAGAATGAGGTACCCAATAACCAGCAATTATGTTAGCAGGTTGCTCTTTAAGGAGGATGACATTACCTTGTCTCTGAATCTTTGGTGAATTAGGCAGAAACATCTCTAGAAATGAGCATAGCCTGCCAGTTCTAGGGTAGGGACCAGGACCTTCAGCTCCTGGTTAAACAACTAGGAAGATCTTCACATTAAGAACTCCTCCAGGTGCCCACACTGACCCTTATGGTTCAGCTTTTTCCTACTCACTTCTGTTCCCTTGCGTCCACACTCCCAAGCATGGGCTCTGCCCACAGACCCGCATCAGTGACCACACTGACCCAGTGTGTGCCTCAAATCCCACTAGCTGCCTCATCCAACACTTGTATGTTTCCAGAACCAACCACGCCAACCGTTTGGGCATTGAACAACCCACACCCCCCACTTGTGTGAATATCTCCAAAAACAGAAAACCACCAAGGAGGAGGATATGGAGAACTTCCAATTTCTAACATTTGTTGTGACTGTTGTCTTGAACGTTTGGCCCAATTTACCTGCCAAGATTTGAAAGACAAAAAAAAAAAAAATCCTCCAAACTGCCTCTTGGATTATTCTGATAAAAATAACTAGCATCCACTCGAAAAGCAACTAGATGGGCACTCATTTGTCTCACATGCATTCATTTCTTAGAAGCTGATGTTACACCAGGTAGCCTTTTCCATGCCTCCTAGCAGTTTATACCAGTTATGTGGGGTAAGTAAAGTTTTACCTCCTTGCACATTTATAAGTTGGCAAATTTTAAAACATCTGTTTATGAATGACTTCTTTAGTTAGCTTTAACATCTTTTGTACCAGCTTAAATTCTCCTTTCTTTTGCCATAAGTCCAGACAAACAAGAGCCAGGCATGGTTCTCCACATAATTAATCCCCCGTGTACAGAGGGATATTCAATTACAACTCTGCCTTCCCCTTTCTGATCATAATAATGATAATTATTTTCATCCTCCATCCAAGGTCAGGGAGGTATAAATACAATGAATTAGTGACTGGTAAATGTGACAGAAATTCTACAGAAGCCCAGATAACACGCATAAGCATCCCTCATGATGGGATGGGTGGTAGCCTTCTGAAAAAAGGATGACTTTCAGAGACTTAGGGAGGTTTCTAAACAGGAGCTCAGTGTTCCTGTGGATGTTAGATGGCCATATAGAAGGAATTGGGTCTTGAGAAACATGTACTCTCTCCATAGGTGAGTGTGGTGGTCTCCCTTGTCACCATGCTAGCACCATCTGCCTTTGACCTCATAGCTGCCTTGGAGATGTACCACCCACGGACCACACTGCGCTTCCAGTTAGCAAGGTATAGCATCCTAGCTAGAAGAACCCCAAGGTGGCTCAGCCATCATCCACCTACAATGGGACTGGATCCCTGCAGAACTGATGCATGTTTCTTCTCCTCCACACTAAACATAAAGCTTTCCTAGGGTGCAAATGGAATGAAAGGAGGGCAGTGGAAAGGAGAGAACAGAGTGATGCAGGTAACACAGATGGAATTATGGGTAATAAAAGAGAGGAAGCAGAGAAAGAAGAGGAGCAAACAGAGAGGCAGAGGGGGGAAGTGGGCAGGAAAAGCAGACACAAAAGAGCAGCAAGATGATGGAATGTGTGTCTGGGTTTCCTCATTATTGAATTCCCTCTGTGGTTAGACTCTGAGTGGCAAAATAGACCCTCATTGCTTGCCAGACATAAGAGAGAAAGCCTGTTCTCTGCTAATGACTACCCAAGCACAAAGTCTATAATGCTATGAACTGTACCAAGACAGTCAGTGGCTGCTACAGCAGTTATGGCCTGAACCAAAGCAAACTGCATGTACAAGAGAACATCCCACGACTGCCTCCCCAAGAGTTAGAGCCACATTTGTGTCTAGCAATGACTGGCTTTCTGAAAGTCTGCTTTCCTTCTAACAGAGAGCATGGTATAGGAGGTATCACAGCTCTGGGCACTTGTTCCTTACTCTGTCCACACTGGCTTCTCCATGCCATCTCCTGTGACACCTCATGAGACTCCTCAAACCTCAGACTACTCTGAGAAGAATCCCTTCCACTCAGGAGTCAATAAATATCTTCTTAAAAAAGACATGGCAGCCAGTATTTTATACTCTGCCATCTATGTCCACATCCCTGTCCCAACTACAAGCTCTAAGGGAGAAGCATGAAAATAGCCACTGCTGATAGCACAAAGGCTGGGTTATCCAACAGCACTTGATTTACTAAAATGGGTTAAAGTTTTGTTTCACTTGAAGACTCCAGTTCCATAACTCCTGGAATCCTACTGCCATAATGACAAAAGCCATCGCGAGAAAAATCAAGGAGTTGACCAAAAGCCCACAGCACGAGATAGACCTGGGGCAAAGCTTGGGGACCCACTCACCCTGATGTTTCCTGTTGCATTCTGCGCCCCTCCAGCCTGGATAAGAAGGACTTTCTCTAGTTCCTTCCTTGCCCACAGGCACTGGGGAGAATCAATTCCATTATTGCATTTGGTGTAACAGCAATCCTATTATACAGATCGGCCTCGTTATTCATACTCAAAACTAGAGAAACAGAGCCACAAAGAGACATAACCTCAGACAAATGAGACATAATTTTGGTAATAAAAGCAAGACATGTTATTTCAGTTCCCTTCACTCACCAACAGACCACCATACCTTTCATCCGAGATGCAGTGAGAGCTGTAGCAAAACCCTGGCTCTGCCAAGAACTCATCAGGCCTTTCTTCCACCAGCACTCACCATGCAGCATTGGAGAGGCTAAGGCTAATGCTGAGGTCATCCTGATGCATGAGGAAGCCCTCCATAGTTTCAGAGGAAAAACAAGTGACAAAGGTGTCTTCTTGAGGAACCGTCTACCAACACGTGACGTCACCTGAACCCCATGGAGATGAAAGAGGCCAGTGTGGCTGTGTGGGTCACTGTTTCCATGTGGAAGTAGTCTCCTTAAGATAAAGCTGTTTCCCTATCACTGGATTTGATTCCACATTTGCACAGCACTGATTTGGGGAAAGATCTGCCGAGGTTGCTTTCCTTGCCCATTATATTTCTTAGGCAGGTTACTCATAAGACACAAGGCTCCATTGTGGGCAATGCCAGGACATGTTTCTCAAATATTCCACTCTGGGAGAATGGGCATGGTGTCTATAGTGACTGGTACAGACCAGCAAGCAGATTCCATTCTGCGGTAGCTGCTTGCATGATGTGATTGTAATACTTTCCCTCTGTGCTGCTGTGGAGCCCAGCCTATTTTTTTGAGGGTGGGTGTTGAGATGTACAAGTGGCATGCTGGTCCTTCCAGCCTCATGGACTGAACAACTCTCAGAGCTCCACCTTTCTGTTCTCTCATCCCTTGAATGGATAGTGTAACATAGACTTGCCAAGAACTGAGTGGAATGATGCCAGGTCATAAATTTACAGATCAGAAAGCATGGGTCAAATGTTCTTTCTGCTGCACTAGTGTTTCTAACAGGCTGGTCCAGGGACGGCTACTGTGGGATCACCTGGGAAAGATGTGCAATCCAAGCCTCATCCTCACCTGCTGAAGTTAGATGATTTTAATAGTCTGTGATTTGGTTTGTTTTTTTTTTTACATTTGTGTGTGTGTGTGTGTGTGTGTGTGTGTGTGTGTGTGTGTGTGTGTGTGATATTCATGTGATGTGTGTGGAGGTCAGAGAACAATTTGAGAGAGATTTCTCTTTCTACTATGTGGCTCCTGGAGATCAAAGTCAGAGGTCAGACATGGCCACAAGTGTCTGTACCCATTGAGCCATCTTGCCTGCCCTATTATCTGTGGTTTATTTCAGTGACACTCAGGTAACTCAACCGCTGTCTTATTATCATATTCATGATGGCTTAGAACTCTCTGGAAGCTCCACACTTCTGGTCCCATGTGTGGTGATCTTGTCTTTCAAGATGTCTTATGCTTTTCAGGGTCCTGGTACTGTATCTAGGAAATCTCTACAGCTTGATCATTGCTCTTCTGGACAAAGTAAACAGCATGAACATTGAGGTGAGTATCCAGCTGGGACAACACCTGCTGTCACTACTGTCATAGCTGCCTAGACTGTATAGTACCTACCAGCATGGCTCAGACTAGAAAGTCTTCCTCCCACTACTGTCCAGACTGAACAGTCACCTGCTACCACTGCCTAGGTAGGGCTCACTCAACATCAAGGCCTAGATTAAACAGTCTCCTTCCTTCCCATCACTGTCCAAACTGGACAGTGGTCATTGCTCTCCAGACAGTACCCCCATGTCAGTGTCTTCATCATCTATGTCTTCTTTACTGCTTATATTTGTGGCTCAAATGACACATCTCAAACCATGCCACTGTGGTCCTTTTAACATGTAGAGAGAAATTTAATTCCCATTTCCCAAATAAAAAATTAACAGTGTTATTATCGGAGCCTGGGCTGTTGCCACCATGTCTCCCTGGGCCATGCTATCTTATTTTCATGCCTCTATCAGGAAAGACTGCCAATGGTTCTTTTAAATAACCACAGGAAGATGAGCAGGCCATAGGCCCATCCAGAAAGTAGAAAGAGAATAATCTTCCCATACCAAATAGTTCAGAGTATGCTCCACCCAATCCCAGCCCCACAGGGCAGCTTTAATGCTCATTTCAACCTGCTCAGCCTTCCAGGACACACTGAGTGGGAGAGGTGGGAAGACAGGAGGAGAAGCTTTCTGAGAGTCATTTATTCAAAGTTTATCATAAATTCCAGGGTGTATGGGCCAAAGAGGCCATGGAGAGCTGGGGATTGAAGTTGCATAGACCTTGGTCCTTACCTGCCACTGTCTGGAGCATTAGTCTATCACTCATTGATCCTTATGCACTTGATCTAAAATTCCCTTGAGGTTGAGAACAGGGGAATCTGTTACCTAGAACCACAGAACTATTTCTGATACTTGTTGCGGAGCAGCGAACTCTATTTCAGCTAATGTCTTGTGAAGTATGGTCACCTCCAGTCAAATGATAAAAGGGAAGGAAAGAGAAGAGAGGAACAAGGAGTGAGGAAAAAAGAAGACTAGAGTTGGGGAAAGGGATGGGGGAGGGGTAAGAGGGAGAAGGAGACAATTGGGGAGAGAGAGAATAGTTATTCTAAAACAAAGCAGTGGTCCCCTTCATTTGTCCAAGCTGGATTCTTGCTCACAAACATGTAAACAGCCTTCCTTCCTCTTTCCTTCCTTCCTTCCTTTCTTCCTTCCTTCCTTCCTTCCTTCCTTCCTTCTCTCCTTTCCCTCTCAACAGGCGGCTGCTACCAAAAATATCACAAGCCGTTGGGCAGATCCTTCCACCTTCTATACCACCAGAGCAATGCCTGAAGAAGGGCAATGGTCCACACCTGGGGCAGGCATGGAGCTCAGGAGTAACAGCAGCACGTGGATCTTGGAAGGCACAAGCATTCTGACTACTGTTATGCCACATACCAAGGCCAACAAGACAGTGCCCTACATGCAGGGCCCACAAGGACAGTGCTGGGAGACCTATGTTGGCCAGGTGCTACCCCCTGCCCCTTGGGAAGTCCCTTCAGCACCTTACCCTGGAAACTCTCTGGGACATCGATGATCCTTTTTCATAGAAAAGAAGCATGGAATCCAGTGATGTTTTATTTTCATATGTCACTGGTCTCAGAGTTAATCATAGTAATCAGAGCAAACTTACTGTGGAGTAGTAACTAAGCAAGGTCTTTGTAAGGTGCTGACCTCAGCCTCATAGGCACAGAAGAGGAAACTTGTGTTAAGAACTTACGTTTCAGACAGGGTGGTGGTGGCACACACCTTTAATCACACCTCTCAGGAGGCAGAGGCAGGTGGATGTCTGTGAGTTCAAAGCCAGCCTTGCCTACAGAGCTAGTTCCAAGACAGCTAGGGATACACAGAGAAACACTGTCTTGAAAAAACATAAAGAACTTGTGTTTCAGAACCTGACCTTAGGGTCTTCCCAAGTTTTGTGTAGTACAGGCTTTGCCTTGGACGTTGTGACCCAAACTCAAATAAACAGATACCCTCCAAACAGCCATGATGAAGTAGAAGGCCCTCCCTCTGCCACTGTGCTGTATAAAGATGTGAAGGGAAAACATTATGTACCTCCTGGATCTGGCTCCAGGGAAAGGACAGAGACAGGATGGACCCTGGAGGATTGTGGAGAAGACAGAGATGGGGAAGACTATGGGGAGGGGGACAGGACGTGGTGGCAACAGGACCCATGTGTTGCAGGAGATGTTGAAGCTGTCTGTCATTGACATGCTCTTCACGGTGGCCAGCATCCTTCTCATAGACTTCTTCCGAGGACTTTTCGTTCGCTACCTAAGTGACTATTGGTGTTGGGACCTTGAAAGCAAGTTTGTAAGTGAAATACTGTGTGCTTGGGGGAGGTGTGCTAGAACTAAATCCACCTTTCACTGTTAGCTTTTCTAGGAATCAGTCAGGCATGTGTTGTATGGCTTTTTCTGTGGAGTTTAATTCTATTCACCTCAATTAGAGGGAAACAGACCTAAGAAGTGGTTCCATTTCAAGTCTAGCTTAGTAAATTTATGAGCTTCTTGGGGTGGTGAGGCAAAGCTTGCTGAACTTGCAGGTAGCTGCACTGGAGTCTTTTTTCTTGTTAACTGCTTGAGGGAGGGCATCCTGAGCCTTGGACACTTCCTGAGCCTCTAAGTCTTGACTTTCCTAAGTCTCCTGACCTTCCCCCTTCCAGGAAGGAATGCTTTAGTCCAAGGAAACAGCTACATATGAGTATGGCCCAGGTAGGACAGAGATCCAGAGAGAGGGTTCATAAGGAAAAAGGAGAGGGTATGCATGGAAGGATAGTGTTTCCCCAGCTTCATATTTCCCCATTTGCTGGTGGCCAGCACGGCAGTCATCTCTGAGTGTCTGTAAGAGCAAAGAAGTCTGTCCAAGTTGTCACAATGAGCCGCTGTGTACAAAGAACTTCATGACTGTTTTTAAAGCAAATGTTTTTCTCTCACAGCCTGAATATGGGGAATTCAAGATCGCTGAGAATGTGCTGCACCTAGTCTACAATCAAGGCATGATTTGGTAGGTCTCAAAGATGCTAAGTCATCAGGGTTAAGGCTTTGATAAGCCCAGGTGGACTCACATAGCCACAAGCGCTATCAGGAAAGGATATTGACAAGGGACTTAGGTTTCTTAGGTGAGGTGCCTTTCTGAGGATTTTATGAAAAACAATGACAGGGGGTGGTTCTTTTTTAAACCATGTCTGATCACAGTCCCCCAAAAATGTCAGCTTAGGAAATGGTAGAGTCTCTCAGCTGGGGGGGTGGGTGTCGATCCAAGAAGAGGGACTTTTCTTGCCAGGAAAGGGTCAGGGGTTGTGTAGTTACACTTGAGCACTTAGAGCCAACCCCATCTTGGGCATTTCCCATCATTTCTTTCATGGAGACATGGGGCCAGATGGAGAGCTATTCTTCTGGATAGCTGACACATTCTGGGGGCTGACCAGGACCCTGGCAAGCCTCCAGCCAAGTAGATCATGTTCCCGGGGGCACCAGGGCACAGGCAAGGGTCATCTTGTCATCCTTTCCTCAGTAGTGTGTGGGGGCCTCCAGCTTTATCTACAGGACCATAAATGACACTGTTGATCCAAATACTGTCAGACAAAGAAAGAGAAGCTTGGCTATCCTAATTATTCAGAAATACAGCCTCCACCATCAGTCACAAAATGCACAGAGAACCCACTAGTATAAATCTGGTGTTTGAATCCATATGTGTTGGTCATTTAATATGTTCATGCTGAGTTAATTTTTACCACAACCCTATCAACTCCATGCAATCATCAAATGCAGTAGAAAATGAGGCTACAGAGGCACAAGGAGGGATGCCTGACTATTACTTTTAAACACTTCATTTTCCCGCCTCTAAATCTGAATTCCATGGGGGTCTGGTTCAATTGCATATCCAAAACAAAGTGAACTAAAGTGGAGGCTATGGGTTTTATTGTGTATTTGATATTTGTGCCTTGGCTAGACGCCCCAGTATGCCTGGGGTAATTGAGTGGTTACTCCTAGTTTACTTATTTTGCTCTTACAAGTGTCCACATCTAGACATGGGGCCACTTTTTTTTTAGCAACATGTCTTTGAACAAATAGGTAAATTTTCCCAGATTTGCCTTCCTAATCTGTTAACTTTGGTCATCTCTCCTTTTCACAATTTCAGAAAAATAAATTAGCTAACAACTGCAAGGGTGATGAAGAACAATGGCCAACAAAATTTGGGGGAGGGGTGTCTGACCTGTGCTGATTCAGACTGAAACTCAGTAACTTATTAACTTAGTTCTTGCCCCAGAACTGCAAAGGGTAGCATTTAGCCCAGGGCCTAGTTCTACAATGCCTGCCTCTCTGAGAGGAGGCCTTTCCCATTGCTAAACTAGGAGAAGAGAAACAAACATATCACTATTGCCCACCTGTGGGGACTCATCATACCTCTGGAATGTGGAGACTGTGCCTCAGATCTTTAGAGGTTCTATGATTCTTGACATATAAAGTGTAAATGTCACGGCTCAGACCCTTGTGCCACCATGGGTGGGGCCTCTGGTATACAGTCCTGAATGTGGACACACACAGACTACCTTCTGCCATTTCAGGATGGGGGCCTTCTTCTCTCCGTGTCTACCAGCCTTCAATGTTCTCAAGCTCATAGGGCTGATGTACCTGAGGAGCTGGGCAGTGTTGACCTGTAATGTACCCCACCAGCAAGTGTTTCGAGCCTCCAGGTTGGTAGCAGTAGTGTCTTCCTTGGACTGAGACCATATAAGCTCTGAGCAGACCTCTTCAGACAAGGGCCTTCTAGCACAGTGCCTCAAACCCTACTGTTTCTCCACTCAGCTCCTGGCATGAGGTCACTGCCTATGGCCCCACCTTGCAATCTGTTGTCATCTCTTTAAGGCTCTTGGCCCATAGTGGGTTTTTTTTTTTAAGTTTTTACTGATATATAACAAAATCATTTGGGAAAAAAAGTAAACAAGTTAGAAACATCAAGCTTGAACTTTCACAGATGGGACACAAAGGTAGGAGCAGCAGAACATGAGGGATTCGCAGAACACATCCCTTCTTCCCATCACCCCTGGTTGCTACAGAAGTACTTGGGCTTGCCTGGATTTGTCATTTGTGTTTATGTAAAAGGTGATGCACAAAGAATGTGCTCATTTATGTTCAGGGTTCTTCTTCTTCTTCCTCCTCCTCCCCCTCCCTCTCCTCCGCCTTCATAGAGCATTGTATTCCTCTACTTCATGTCCCTGAGGAGACACACAAAACTGACTTCTGGTTTCTTTGTCTTGTAGCTGCCAGCTGCTGACTGTAATGGACAACAGCCCTGAACAAATTATAATACTGTGTATTAGGCAGGTACACATTAGTTTTCATAGTTGGTTAGAAGTTAGAATTGTTCTACAATCCTGGCTATACTAATTCTTTACTGAATTTCATTTTAGCCACATGGGTGAATTCATAATACATTTTGAATCTCATGATTAGTTATCTGCGTGTCTACCTTCTCTATCAGTGGCTATCAAGCTTTTTAACATGACATGGAGAGGAATATATCTATTTTACCTGGTGACCAGTACACACTTATGCTTATGTTTGGATATGTGTGGTCTTATATATTTACGTGTAGTTATTTAATCTCTACCTCCCAAAGACTCCACAAAGGTAACCACATGTCAGCATGAGCTATGGAGGGCACAAGCATTAGTATCTACTTACCACATGAAATGTGGGACTTCTGGTTAAGTGTTTTTCATCAGCAAAGGAGAAAGATAGGGAAACCAACAGACAGGGTGGTTGAATATCACTAGACTAATTAACTATATACAGGGCCTCACATACCAAATTGGTCTGAGCCACAGTTGTGGAAGCCAGGCCACTGGAGGCCCTGATACCAGCCTGGTACAATTCATTCTGAGCAGTAAGGGGCAGAGAAATAAACTGAGAGCAAATGTGAGCCAAGTCAGATGGTTGAGGATCACAATTAATAGAGCCTTGCTCCTGAGACCCAAGAAGCAAGCTCCAGGCTGGTAGCAGGAAAGGAAGGCACTAGGTATCAGTGCTCTGAGTTACATGGATCAGACGAAGAAAGAGAGCAACTGCAGATGAATTTAGCCTTAGCAAAGGCAGCAGGAGTAATCAGTCTCCATGGACTGTCTGACTGCAGAAGCTCTTTTAATTGATACACAAAAGGCCATTTAGCAAGTGAGTTCCCAAATACCAAAATCTCTTATCTGAATTAGAAGTTGTCTTAACGAACCATTGCCTAAGCAAATACAGTCATTTTAAAAATTCCAGGTGTGTCAGGAAGGTCTTATGACTGAGGTTATGCTAAGGTTCTGAAATCTCCAAGACACAGGGATCCCATAAATCTCAGATGGCAATCACTGATATTTACAAAAGATAATTCCAAGGCCTAAGTGGCCATCACTCCAGAGTAAGTGCCAGGTGCAATGGCCCTGTTAATATTCCACTAAAATTAGGTAAGGCCCCAGGTGGGTGGAGGGCAGTTCTAAGATTGGCTATGCAGAGGTAACTGGGTAGAAGCCATGCATCCAGGGGTGCAGCCACTGCTTTCTGGGTTTACATCTTACAAGTGCACAGCCAGTGTTTGTGAAGTGAATTTACTGGGTTGGAAGCCTTTTTCTGAAAGCTGCTTTCCAAGTTTCTAAGCTGTGCAAGCCCCTCACACAAAGCACAGGTGTGTGTGTGTGTGTGTGTGTGTGTGTGTGTGTGTGTGTGCAAATGCTGGCACTCAAGCACATGCTGGTCTATGTATGCATACAAGTGCATGTGTACATGTGTATGTGTAGGAGTGGAGGCCAGAGTTTGATATCAGGCATCTTTCTCCACCTTATGTTTTGTCAGTCTGGCCGGCCTGACTGGATAGTAAGTCCCGGGAATTCCCCTGTCTCTGCCTCCACAGTGCCTCCAGCCTTTTACAGAGATACTGGGGAATCAAACTCAGGTCCTCATGCTCATGCAGCAAGCACTGTACCAACTGGGCCATCCAGACCCCTGCTAAGAGCCTGGTTCCATGTCCAGAGGTGCTGGCTGATTCTGGGTGGGTTGTTAGGTTGTGCTCACTCAGACTCTGGGATGAACGAACGCTGCATGGTGTTTGGTCTTTCCGCAGATCCAACAATTTCTACCTGGCAATGCTCCTGTTCATGCTCTTCCTCTGCATGCTGCCAACCATCTTTGCTATCGTCCACTACAAGCCATCTCTGAACTGTGGCCCCTTCAGGTAACACACACATTGGGGAAAAAAGTAAATAAGTAAACAGATAAATGAAAAAATATAATATGTAAGAGAAAAAAATCCTAGTATGGTTTGTCACATCTCTAAATCCTAGTATTTAGGAGGCTGAGCCTGGAGGATTGTCAATAGTTTAAAGCTAGCCTGAGATATCAAGTAGGACTGTCTCAAAACTGAAAACATACATACAAGTAATATACAGACAAGGGAAGTTGTATTTATGTACTTAGGAATATACATATATACATATGATAGTAATTAATGCAATAAGGCACTATGTGTTTTAAAGAGAGCAAGGAAGGTGGTGGTCTGTGATAGAGTTTTGAGGGGAAAATAAGGAAATGATATAATTACACTATATTCTCAAAAAGGAAAAGAGGAAGAAAGGAAGGAAGGGAGGGAGGGAGGGAGGAAGATCTGGCTATATAGAAGTCTACATAGCTGAAGCCAGGAACTTTACTTGAGGACAATCCATGTCAATTTTCAGTCTATAGTATCTTTCTATAACCATACAGAAATCTCAACTGCAGTCTCCACTGATGCCTAAGCCAGTTTTGACACACAAATCTTTGGAGGAGGTCTCCACTGACCTGCAGTGTGATCAGTGGCCTTATATCCAGTCCTTCTAGGGAACTAGATGACTAGCCACTTCACAGAACTTCTAGGGAGCATTAGGAATCTTTGCCATTTGGAGATTTGCCTCCAGCTTTTGTAGCTAGTTTTGGGGATCCACCTCTAGATACCAAACATTTTTTAATAGGTCTCAAATCATTCTGTAGACAAAAGCAGTCAGATCTGGAGTTATCTTTTTCTTTCTCACAGTGGACAAGAGAAGATCTATGACATCGTGTCAGAGACAATAGAGAATGACTTCCCTGCATGGTTTCACGTTGTGGTTGGACACATCAGCAGCCCTGTGGTGATACTTCCAGCTGTACTCCTTCTGTTGTGAGTGCTACAACTCCCAGCCTCCAGGGGATGCTACTCCTCCCAACCACCAGGGGGCATCACTCTCTTCAACCTCCAGAGGACACTACACCTCCCAGCCTGGAGAGGCTATCTTACCTTCCAGCCTTAAAGGGGCATGACTCCTCCCAACCTCCAAAGGATGCCATATCCCTCACCCTCAAGGACAGCTGTGTGTGTAGCTATATGATCACACTGCTGTCCAATAATTAAATAAAATTAGTTCATTCAGGAGTCACTTACAGGAGTTGATCTAAGCATGGACTCAGCCACACTTCAGAATAGCACAACCCACCATGCCACAAAGAGACAGCTGCATAATTACTGCATTGTTCCTGTAATCCATATCATCTGGTGGATTACCATGGCCACTGTGAGTGGCCATATACTATTAGTACCAGTATGGTAGTCTGCAGAAATGTAGATAATTTTGAAATGTCATAATTCAGCTGAGTAGCTTGTGTTTATTAGTGCTTCCAGTGAGAAATGAAACCAGTACTCACCGCTTGATTGACTACAAAGTGCTTGCTGACCTTGGTGCCTTGTTTTTATTGTCAGAGTGCAGAACAGGGGTCAGCCATGAACAGCAAAAGATGAAAGGGGGGAATTTGCACTTTCCCAGTGGCCACAGGCTATGAGAAGGCAGACACGCTTTTGCTAGGAGTCCAGGGGTCACTACTGGATAGCCCACATCTGATCTGGGAACCCTCATTTCCACTGCCACCAGAGCAGGACCTGAAAGCTAAAGAGCCAGTTGAAGCCCACTCACTATTCCATGTCCTTCCATCCCAGCATGCTCATCTACTACCTTCAGAGCATCGCAAGATCCCTGAAGCTCAGCAGCCAGCAACTCAGAATGCAGATCCAAAACGCAAGTATCATCTGATCTCAGCTGTCTTCCCTGACAACATCAACCCCAGTCATATGCCTGCCCCTCTATAGCAGGAGAATGCAATGGAGCTCAAACTCTTAGGTTATAGTGGTTTGACACTTGACATGCTGTGGTACAAAGTGGCTACCCCCAAATTCCCTCAGGTCACTTGTAAGAATATCCAGTGGTTGCTTGCATTTTCTGGGAGTGAGCCTATTCACTGGAACAGTCTTTGCATGGTCGTGCCAGGTTCCCAGTGTGCCAGGCACCTCTGTGGACTTTAATAGACTGGTGAGGACCCACCTCTAACCTGACCAAGGGACCAAGGTCAACTTTGACCTTTGAACCCTTAGGGCTGCTTATACCCTCTTTCTTATCCTTTAGATTTTGTCTGGCATGGACTCCTTCCCACCGGGAAGTACTCTCCTAAAGTAACCAGATTGAGGTAGACACTCCCAGCCCTTCCACAACTGTTCCCCTACATCCTCTCCCTTAGGGTCAGGAGGAAGCCAGGGAAGTACCCAGGGTACCAAATTCAAGGATGCTCTCTCTGGGTCCCATCTACCTGCCTTTCATAACACTGAGAGTCATCCTTCCTTAAGTGTGGCATCCTGGTTACCTTCTTGTCTTTACCATCATTGAAAAACAACTCCCTGTACCTTTTCACAAAAAAAAAAAAAAAAAAAAAAAAAAACCAAGCAAACAAAAAAAAAAAGCAATTGCTCCCATAAATTCAAATTTATGTAAAGGGGCAACAGACTAGCTTTGTGAAATGTCAAGTTAGAAATCCATTTCCAGTTGCAGGGCATTTTGTTCATGGGTATTTATTTCCCTAGTGGCTGATCTGTGTTTTCTTTGTGACTCAAGCCATTTCAGGCAGAGCCTCTCTCATCTAAAGATCTGAAATACCCCAAGACCTCAAAGTGCCTGCTGGTCACCATGAAGCCAAGAGTAGAAAATTCTACACCATGAAAATGTTTTGTGCACAAAGTTATCAAAAATAATATTCTATAAAATCACTTCTGGGCTACATGTACTCAGTACAGGTGAAGCAAATGAATCTTATTTGAGACTTGGATCTTATCCCTAAAATAACCAGAATATGAAAAACTATAGGTTCAAACTCCTTCAGCTCCTCTGCCTGCCTGTGCAGAATGTAACACCCATGAGTTAGTTGTCCTTATAGGAAAATCATCAGGTGTAAAACCTTGGCTCTTCTGTGTTTGCATTTACTCTCTCAAATAACAAGTCCAGTCTGTGCGATCCAAGCATCCTGTCCTTATTGGTACTTTCATGCCCAAGGTCTGAATAATTGTGTATAAGTCATCTTCTTTCCTGCCCAAATAAAATGTTAACTGTCTCAAACCGGAAGCATACTGATTATTATTCCCATTTCAGGCAAGATCTGAAGATAAGAAGAAGGTTGCCCAAATGGTAGAGGGTAAGTGAATCTTAAAATACAAATGTCTATTCTTGAAATGGATGGGTGTTTTTAGAAAGGGCAGAAGGCCCACCACTTGCGAAGATTGCCTCATAACTAGTGCGAAGATTGCCTCATAACTAGTGCTGGGCTCTCACAAGTCACTGGGCACACTAAGTAAAACTAGGCCATCTATAGCTCTAGGCCCTTGATCTAAGCATGTCCAGGCATGGAAACAACCCCCAAACCTCTGTAATCAGAAGGAGTCTTTAAAACCAGAGGGAAAAAAAAAACAGTGTGGCAAGATGGAAAATACTCAAGAACCTGTTTGTCTGACCATGTGATGTAGGCCTCTCAGATGTCCATCTGTTCCCATGGATGCCCATATCCCAGGCTTCTGCCCCAGGCTTCTGTGTTCCTAAGTTCTGTCATCTCTGTCTTAGCTTCACCTAGGGATGCCAGCCAGGCAGGCCCAGCCACAAAGCAGGTTACAGAGTAAAGACACAAAGACTCTCCAAGGCCAGACCTTCTTTCCCCCACTTCTCCAAACTCACACCCATCATGAAGAAGAGAAAGCTATGGCCCAGAAGGAAGGAAAGCATGGGGAACAAAATTTGGTGTGGCTAGGCTGGATTCAGAGAAGGGGTGTGGTAGGTGCAGCTCAAAACAGAGGCTGTAACTCTTCCCCCTAAGGCTTGAGTGTCAGGATACTCAGTTGGTACCACTGGTCTGGCACAGCCACCACTACCTGCCAGAGCAAGTAAGAGAATGGGACTCAGATGTTGCCATGAGCCAGTCCCTGTGACTATTTTAAGGTGAGGTGTCTGCAGGAGAGCTCTTCTCCAGGAGACTCAAGCCTAAGGGTCACATTCCATGCAGAGATGTCACCAGGTGACAATTTCACACACACAAGGTGACCGTGGCTTGTGCTATAAAACCCATAGTAATTATGAGAGATGACTTGCCAAGTAAGAATAATGTTTAATCTAAGCAGAGCGGGATCTACAGAGACCTTCTCAAATAGCCTGCCTTGCTTTAGGAGTATGAGATTATACCCTGTCGTCTCCGGGCTACTCTTGGTTCCTCCGTTCCTTGCTTAAGCTCCCTGGATACCATGTTTGGAATGGCTGAGTTTGTGGGATGCAGATGATGACTGTAGACTCAGTTGTTATGAAAGTCCCGCAGTTAAATCAGCTTTGTGTCAGGCACCTTTCCATTGGGATAACAAACACCTGGCATCACTTTCTTATAAAGACAGAAAGTCTATTTTGACTCCCAGTTCCAAGTTCCAATCTGTACTCTCCTGACCTCATTGCTTAGGGGAGGAGCATACCTCCCTGCCAGACAAGCAAACCTCACAGTCAGAAGCAGAACAGGTCCCCAAAATCCCCTTAGAGCACATGCCCCCTATGACCATCCGGCCCTAGTCTCAAAGGTTCTCCCTTCCTGCAAAAAAAGCCAGCTTAAGGACCAGGTCTTAGCATGAGGGTCTTGTGGGGGATTTAAGTCTCAAATCATAGCAAACCTGGTCCTGTCACCTGCTCTTCCCTCTACACACAGCTCGAATCCAGACTCGTGAAGAAAGCACCAAGAGGCTTCTAAAGGATGGCGACATCATCAGCCAGCTGTCCTCAGCATACCTGGCAACACCCCAAAACAATGGCACCATGATCAACTGTGACTCTCTGAGTAGCAAGAGCCTCAGGATGGAGACAGTCACAAAGTCCCAGCCCCAGAGTCCCGGGTAAGGGTCCAGGGGCCCCTGCTCTCCTCTTCCAGGTGGATCGAGCTCAAGGCCAGAGCAGGATGCCAGTAGGTGAGGAGGAATGCTGACACAGAAGGAAAACAGGTTTCTTGGATGTGACACCAGTGACAGACCGAAAAAACTACCAGCAGGCTGGGGCCTTTGTATTCCAGGTCTGACAGGAGTCAGAAGACAGAGACTGCTGGGACTCAAAAGGATGTGGGAAGTGGTAGGGGACGGGAGGTCAAGATTTTTCTAACCTTACCTTATCACATAATCTGTAAGAAAATTTTCCTTGAAGCCTAGCATACATATTTCTTCAGCCTATGAAAATAACAGTTCATGTCCTGAGTCAGGATTTGGGGGTTACGGAAGCAGAAGGCACAGCTCTGCACCATCATCCTCAGCAGCCTGAGGAGTTCCCCAGGAGTTTTGATGACCCAACTCAGGCCAAACTGGGATTTGTGGCTTCCACCCAGGGAAGAATTTCGGAACTAGCGAGTTTATGAAGTAGAGTTGAGGTTAATGAAGGCATTAAATTCAGGCTTAAGCAGGAAGGTTAAGTGAAAGAAAAGTACACTCCCAAAGAAAACTAAGATGCAGGAGAGGGCATGGGGGTGGGCTCTTCAAGGAGAGTCAGGGCTCATTGTATTTGTTTTATTGTTGTTGTTTGTTGAAGTAGGCGCTGAAGTTACTCAATGCACAGGGTCATTATGAGATGTAAATGAGATTCCTAAGGAGCACCTGGCAGGATTGCAATTTATAAGGTTAAAATGTGTAGCTCTCAGGGACACAGGAAGTCGGGATATTGTCACAGGAAACAAAGAGGGCAGTCTTGTTTGAGGTTCTCAGGTCTTATCTGGGGAAATGAATGACTCTACCCAAAGTCATGTACATTCAGCCCTTAATCCTGGCTCTTTTACACACATAAAATGTCTGTGTATGAATCCTGTGTCCCAACCCTCACAGCCAGTGTTGGGTGTGTTGGATTCCAGCTTCTCCGCACCCCGGGGTCATGAGCTCTTTCCTCTCTCAAGTCCCATAGCTTCCCAATCTTTCTATACAGCCTCATTACATATTAGGTCCCAGAATGGCTGTATTAATGGTAAAGGGTCTCTGCTTTGCATGAGACTGATCAAGTTATTAGAAAGATCTTCAATGCATTATTATATGGGCCAACTGCTTCAGACTCCTCTTCAAGAAAGCAGATGAACCTAGCTTCCTTTACATTTGTACAGCACCCAGAAGACTGAGGGGACAGAGCTATGCTGTCCCAAAATCATAGTCAAAATTATATTCATCATTTGTAACACAGTGGATATCACAAAGATAAATATTTTTTTTCTTTCTGCAAGTTATCATAGAACTTGATGTTTTCTTTTTAAGAAAGTTGTCTTCATATCATTGTAGTACCTTCACAAGTGGTACCCGGACCTAAGTCCTTCTTGGGAGGTCATGGGCCTAGGGAGGGGGGTGGTCAAACCATAGTCACTATTTCTTGGAGCAGGTATAGCTCCCCCAAGAGGACACTTAGGGGAGTGCCTGGAAAGCTGGAGCAGCTGTTTAGCCACTAGAGCAGTAGAAATGCTCCTAACACAACCAGTGCTCTGTGACAGGATATACTAATGGGACATGCCTTGCCATGCACCCCAATGGAGACTGGCATCCCTTATTGTGTCAGGGTTCTAAGATGTCCAGTGTGGCCCCACTCCCTGAGTATATCCACGAGTCACCAACAGATGTTTTGGGATTCCTGGAGATGAGGAGGGAGACAGAGGCCATAGCTACCTAACCACTTCTGCCTTACAGGGATCCACATGGCCCATGTGCCAGCACAGGCAACCTCCACAAGAACAGACCCTGCACATCCATGACACAGACACAGCCCCGCAAGGATGCTTGCTCAGAGCCTCTTTCCCGAAAAGACTTTCAGCCAATCAGACCTCATTTCTGTGGACCTGGGGTCTCTGCCCTGATGACACATGGCCACAGACCCCGTGCTCCCAGATACTATGTTGTAAATGAACGTGACTATCACAAAAAGACCCACCCGACTTTCTGGCCAGAACGACATTTCAAGATAGATGCTTTAGGTGAAGTTGTGGAGCTGTACCCCAGGAATGTGAAGAAGTACATGTCCTGGGCTCCCCGACAGCCTTGCTCACCACAGCTGAGTGAAGAAGAGGAGGAGACACTGGGGACAGATTTGGTGCAATGGGCGATCCCTCCTGGCTCCCTGACAGACCTCCCTCGGGCTTCTCATTTTTACACCGGTAACAGACCAGAAAGTGACACTCAAGACCCTGAGTATCAGCGAAGAATGTACTACAGATCTGCGGATAACAGTTTTGAAGGCCAGCTTGAGAGACCCACATTTGTACATAAAAAGCCACGATCCAGGAATGTCCAGTACCCACAGCACCCTCTGAAGCCCAGAGGCAAAGCCAAGTTCGAGCCATCCTTCACAGAATCTGATTCCGTGTCAGCAGCATCCAGCAGTGACCAACAAAACAGCAGCAATGATCAATACCTGCAGGTCATGTCCAGCCAGGGCAGATTCCCAAGATCTGCCAGCCAGCTGGGCAGGAAGAAGGCCAAGCCCAGGCAGGCGCTGCCCACGGACCTAAATGACCTAATTTGTTCAAATGTCTAGGCTTCTTTCAATGTCCCTTCCTAAAGACTGGATCTCTTTGGCAGTATTGGGAGCACACAGTCCCACCCTTTCTGGAAGAGAGACCCATTGTGGGGGTTTTAGAGATCTGTGGATCTTCTTTAGGGGCTTTTACTGTCTGAGGTTCTGAGACTATGGGGCTGTACCTTCCTATTCACAGCAATGGTGTGTGAGTGCCCATTCCTAGTGTTTCCTGGTGTCTAGCACACATCACCACATCAGACTGTCTTTTCAAGAAAATATCAGGCCTTTGATTCCAATCAGGGCAGCTGGCCATGCTCACCAGCAAGCTAGACATCTCACCAGAACCGCACAAACCAACTTTGACACTCTGCTTGTTTGCCTTCAGTATGAAGTTCTTTGCACTGTGCTCTTTTAACATACCAGTAGTGGCACCATGTTGTGAGCACCCAAACTTAGGTGGCCACCCTGAGCATGTCCACTGTATTTAGTTTATGAGGACAATCAGTTTAGTGGTGGCCAGCACAGTACACTGCAAGCATATCTAACTCAGTATTAGTTAATCAGGACACAAAGTGGAAAGGATCGCAAATTTACACCTTGCTTGGTTCTTTTCACTGAGAAGAATAGGGATTGAGACACAGTACCATGCTCAGCTAGAACCAAGGCTCAAATGTCCCCAAGAATACCTGTCATCTTACTGCTCAGTTCTGTTTCTGTCTTTGCTGACTTGTGTTCTCCCACTGCCAATAAGACTTCCTTCAGGTAGGAGGTGAAGATTTCACCACCACAGAGATGCCGGGCTTCCAGCCAATAAGCCCAGGGAAAGAGCAGAGCTGATGTTGCCTACTTCTCCCTGTGTCTCTCAAGGAGCTGTTCTCTGAAGCCTCTGACTGGCCTTGTGTAGGGCTTAGCATCTCTGTGTGCCCCATCCCACAGTAACCAGCTGGGTGCCCTGACTCCTATTTCCAGATCACATTTTAGAAGCTCTCACTTTTAACATTTCTGACTCCTCTACTATACTTCAAGTGTCTTTGGAATGAAAATGGCACCATGGTTCTACATTCCCAGTAACTGACACACAATAGATACCACGTGTGTTTTCTAGCACAGCTCTCAATCAGAATAACAATAGAGACTCTCCACAAACAGGGTTTCTCTGAAAACAGAGCACATCACATTGATTAACCACTAGCACTGTAAGCCACAGGCATATACAAGGTCTGGAGCAAAGGAAAGGTTTCACAAGCAAATGGATCTTGCATGAGCTGTTGCAGTCAATTCTCCTTGTCAATAGATCAACAGCAAAGGTGGCACCCAGCCCAAGGTCAGAGGGATGTGCTTGCAGAGATACTTACTGTCTGTACAAAACTGTGGTGGCCTTACGTGCCAGGCTGTGGTCTGGCCAAATTTTGTGATCATTTTCTGTGGCTGAGTGCATGTGCAATCCCCCTACTTCACCACCACCCCCCGTGCTTCATTTACTTAAATGTCAGTGCAACCCCACCTTGATTCTTGTGACTTTCAACCCACAACAACAAATTGAGTGGCTTGATAGGATGCACACTAACCATCACAAAGTTTCCATGGCTCAGGAGTGCAGGCATGATTGACTGGGTCCTCTCCTCCGGGTCTCACCAGGCAGCAGCTGACGCATCAGCAAGTATTGACATCTCGTCAAAGGTTCCAGGCCATCTTCCTGTCTCACAGGGTTCTTGGTCAAATGTCCAGTCCTTGAGGTTCTAGAGGCTTCCTGCATGTCCCTGCTGCACAATACTCTACGGAGCATGGCTGGTAGATCTTCACTGGTAGTTTAGTATGGCCATTTGTCTTCCAGTCCCTTTTGGCAGGGATACATGGGCCCTCTTTCAATAAGTGGCTTGAGTAGGACAGGGCCACCCAGAAAACATTTCATTCTGATTACTAGAAGTTGGCTTATGGGGAATATTAATCACAACATGAAAATCACTTCATCCTTACTGCCTATCATAGCCCAGTCATGGGGTGAAAGTTCATACTATTCAGAACATCCTACAAGCCATTCATCCCACGGAGGCAGGGATTTTGGAGATCTGCACAAATGCTTAATTCTTAGATAGATGCTACTGTATGGGTGAATAGACCATATTGATGTCTGAATCACATATGGCAAGGCCACTGGATTAGAGGCCAAGATAACTCCCAATTCTAAAGAGGAAAGTTTGTATAAATATTGAGTCATTTGTAAAGCACACACTGATAATCCTCCTCACTAAACCCATGGGGAGGAGTGCACAGGTTTTCAAATGCTATACCATGTTGTCACTAGGAGATGATGGTCTAGACTTAGTGTTCTGCAGTGCCTGGGTTGTCTTTTAGTGGCAGAGAAACCCACATCAGTGCCACAGTGAGGAGGCCTCCTACCCCAGGTTCTGGGATTAAAACTGAAGCCTAGACTTTCCTGGGACATGGAACTAGGTTAGGAAAGCCAGACCCACCTCCAGACATCTTCAGAAACAGATGTGTGACAGGGGGAGGAGAAAACATGAGCAGACACTGGCGCATACCAAGAAAACAGAGCCATTTAGTCCGTATCCAGGACTGAAGTGTGAGTTCAGAGCGCGCCTATATGGCACCTTGTTTCAGGTGATTCCCACTTGGAGAAATTTAGGACACCTAACAATACAAAACAGAGCGTGATGAGCATCCGTATTCCCTTGTGAGGCTCAACAATGGTTTGTATTTTATTTCCAAGGAGCCACTTAGTTATTAATAATAAAGAAAACACTACAGAGCTGGATTTGAAAGATTGATACAGGAGGACTGGACCACAAGTTCAAGGTCAACCTGAGCTACATAGTGTTAGGCTAGTTTGAGCTGCACATGAATATGAAGGGGAGAGAGAGGGAAAGAGAGAAAGATAATCAAATTATTCTTTAGCCCCCATACTAGAAGTCCTTCCTTTTGTATTGTCATGAGCTCAGTATATATGCATCTAATAGATTGTCATATTTACAGATATTTTATGTATGAATATATATATATATGTGTGTGTGTGTGTGTGTGTATTACAGAAGCATGTCTTAAGTCAATGCCATTATCTTAGATCTATCACTGTATTTATTGCATTTTGAAATCTATTACAGAAATGTGCACAGATGAAATTCCCTATGACAGCTGTTTAGTATTTCATTATTAGAGCGAACTACATAATGTCTCTTCTTTTACTACACAAAGGATATTGGAATATGAAGAAATTTCCATATCTTTCCTATTAAAAAGGCACACTATATTTCTTTTGTTTGTCTTCTTTGAAGTTATCAGTCATATAAAGAAAAATCTGAGCTTGCTGGAGACAATCCTATCAGGCTTTCCCAGTTTCCTCTTTATTATTCTTTCCAAGGCCAGATGTTGCATACTCCTGCCTTGGCAGATGACTGGAATGCTTTCCTTGCAGTCTCACCAAGAACTTAATCTTGCCACAGTATGTAATTTCTGTCAATCTGATGGAAATATAATAAATCAAGTGGTTTTAATTACCCTGCTCCTTTTCCTCTTTCTTGACTCTCCTCAGGCTGATAGGTGATCACCTCTCAGCACTTTCACTCTCTCTGCAGCATCACCACCATCATTGTGAATGAACTTCCATGAAGGTCCTAACAAAAGCGTGGCTTGCTGATCACTCATCTCCCTGCTCTTTGGTAATACCATCTCTTATCTTTGCTTTAGAGCAGAAAGCTACCAGGCTGCCTTATCAAGCTTGCTTATGTAACTGTGGTTTCACAAGATGCCTGTGTAATTTATTAATGGTCCATGGCAAGGGAAATTGTCTGCCTTCTTGTCCTGTCATCAAACTATTACTGGTAGCATGACCCAATGTGTTGTTACAACTCCAGGGCCTGAAGGAATAGCTTAGTGGTTAAAAGTACATACACTCTAGTAGACAGCCCAGCTGAGTTCCATTCCTAGCACCCATGTTGGGAGGCTTATAATTGCTTTTCACTCTAGTTTCATGGGATCCAATGCCCTCTTCTGGCCTCCTTGAACACTGTGTTCATGTGTATATGCACACACACACACACACACACACACACACACACACTTAAAAATAAAATGAATCTTTAAAAATATCTATCCTAAAAATCACTACATAGTAAATGTGCTTTCCCTTTCTTTGTTTGTTTGCAAGTGATTGGTTTCTTTTATCTTTTCCAAGCCCCTGGAGCCACTGGTCTCTACCTCCTCATACTGTGACAGATTGACTGGATACTAAATGACTCAATCCAGGTAAAGTACATGTGTAGGACAGCAGTTGGCAAACAGTGAACTGAGGAAACAGGAAGTGTTGCTAAGGGAACAATAAATGGGCATCTCCATACTTACTTACTAGATTCGTGGTGTACTGAGCTAATGCAATACATAGTTTGTGGCACCCTTGCCCTGAACACCTATCTCAAAGTCATCCAGGGGTCCTGTGAGATCTGCTGAGGGATCCTGGTGGCCTGAAAGGCTAGGTCTTTGTGGGATGGCATTGACCAATGAATCTGCAGAGCTCCATTCTTCCTCTTCCTCTTCATCTCTCAACTACAGCCTCAAGCAGACTCCAAACGTGTGCCTGTCTGTGCCCCTGGGAGTGGTTTGTGGGTACTGCTTAGCTCCTCTCAGCTCCAGCCAGTTGCTTTCCCTCCCCTGGGCCTGCCTCCAATCACAAAATAGACAGAGCAGCTCCAGGCTACCTTAGATCTCTCCTGTCTTCTGCAGGACGTTGTCACAGGCCTTGAATGGAAAATTTACTTCTCCAAATATTTTGTCTACCCAGGACCTCCCATTTTCGGAGAACAAGGATCAAAGTTAATTGTAATTAACTTTGTTTTGTTTTTGTAGGGTCTGGAGAAATGGCTTAGTAGTTAAGAGCACATTCTACTATTGAAGAGGACCCAGGTTCAGTTCCTGTCACCTATCTATGTCGGCTGGCTCATAACCAGCTGAAACTCCAACTCTGTGGTATATTATACTAGCTTCTGTGGGCATCAATACATACATGCACATATGCACACACACATAAATAAAAGCAACACTTTTTTAGGAAAAAAAAGCTGCCAACTACACTCTGTGACTGTAGTCATCTCTTGGATATTGATAGTTACTAAAAGTCATTTTCTAGATCAGGATTGGCTTTCCTGGTCTGGTATGTAGTTCAGTGGTAGAGCATTTGCTTCGCATGCCCGAGTTCACACCCAGCATAAAGAAAATACAAGTCAAGACTTACTTTCCTTCATTTTTGTTTTCATATTGTTTAGGCTCAAAATAAAATATTTCTAATAGGTCCCAGTCTGACGATCAAGTTAGAGTCACAGAAATTTTTAGGAATACATTTATTGAATTCTAATTAGACATTGTGGTGACTAGGGGAAAAAATGGCCCCCAAAGGGTGTGACACTATTGCCCTTATTGAAGAAAGTGTGTTGCTGTGGGGGCGGGCTTTGAGGTCTCTTTTGCTCAAGCTCCCCTCAGTGTAACAGTCAGTCGACTTCCTGTTGCCTGCAAGACGTAGGACTCTCAGCTCCAGCACTATATCTGCCTACTCCCCCCTTAATGATCATAATGGACTGAACCTCTGAACTGTAAGTGAGCCACCCTTAAGTAAATGTTTTCTTTACAAGAGTTGCCCTGTTCATGGTGCCTCTTCACAGCAACAAAAGCCCTAAGACAAACATTTAAAATTAAAACCATTCTGTTAGTGAATGAATTAATGAGGCAGCATATGATGATATGAAACATAAAGGAAGTGTCCAGCTGACTGCACTCTGTTCTAAGCTCACTCCTTACTAGACTGGAACACTCTGAGCCCTGAAACATATAAACTTCCCTAGCATGCAGTGCTTCATGGAGGATAAATGTCCTGAGAGAGGTATCATGAAGTGATTTTTGTCATTGTGTGACATCATGGTGCATTGTTATAAAGTGCAAGAGGCCTACAATGTCACTGGGTGATGGGTAACATTATCTTATAAGGCCACCTTTGTACATGCTGCCTATGTAGCACACACACATACTTCTTTCTTACTCAAGACATGTAAGTACTTAATTGAACATAGATATGATGTAGTGTGTAAATGCTTACTGCACATCAAATGCCATTCTGATTACTATTCACTGTTAAGCCATTTGATCTTTGCTTCAACTGCTAGTACTATTACTTATTTTACTTTTCAAATGAAAAAACAAAAGAGAGAGAAAAATTTAAGGCCTGGAATGGCTACTCATTTGCTAATAATGCTATACACTTGCCAACATAATTTGTGACTTGAGTGACCTGATGAGTGTTGGCTTTAACTTTATTACTTTCATAATATTTTTACCACTGGAAATGCAACCCAAGACCTTGAGCATGGTATGCAAATATTATATGACTGAGCTGTATGTACCCACTTGCCCAACGGTTTGCCAGCTAGCTTTTTTGCTTGCTTGCTTGCTTGCTTGCTTTCTCTTGGTAGGATCACACTCCATAAACCTGCCCAACCTGGAACTCAATATGTAAACCACACTAGCATCAGAATTGGGTAATCCTCCCTCCTCTGCCTCCTGAATGTGCTGCTATGCTTGGTTCTAAGCACAAGCCTTTGTATTCACAACACTGTTATCATTCAACTTGTATTTTTGACTTATGTGATGTAGCATGTGGCCATCTTTCCCTGTTGGTTCTTAAACAGAGATCACATTTGGAGAAAGATAAGAATTTATGTTTTATTCATTAAGTTTTAAACTCTGTCGGTGTCCTCCAAACAGCAAATGGGTGTTGATGAGAAGAGCTGCCTCCTATCAAGCTGTGTTGTTAGACTCAGCCTGGGCCTCTGCTCTCTTGAGCAATCCTCCATGGCATGAGCCTGCAGCAGTTCCATTGGCTGGGTTATATTGAGTTTAATGGTTACACAATACCCCACATAATGGGTCTCTTGTAACTTGGCTCAATGCATTGACAAATAAGATTATGTCCATTACAAGGGCAATCTTCCATGCCTCTGTGCAGGTGAGGTTGTTGGGTTAAAGAGGAAGTACAAAAACTGTTAATATGTATCATTGCTTTGTTTGCAAAATGTTGTACACTTGCAAATATGGTCCACAGTGAGGAAAAACCCTTTCTCCCATATTGTTACTGACACAAGGTACTGACAACTCTTATCCTGTTTGTGCATTAAAAGGGTCTCCTTATTTAGTTTGTAATCCTTGCATCTTTTGTCTCTTGGTTATTTATTTTGTCATAAAGCATCTTTCCATGTATGATGCTTTCTTTTTGTATTAAGTTTGATTGATATTTCTCAATGGTTTAAATAACCAAACAACTCCCATTATTATCTTTTATGATTTTATATGCTTCATTCTTAAAGCACAACAAAGCAAAACATCTGTTTTATAACTTCTAGAATAACACGCATGTGTTCTTTCATGTGTTTTCATAGTTGCACAGGGATATTCATGTTATTATAACATCTTACCTCACAGCAAACTGCTATTCAAAGATGTTAAGAGAACTACCTTCCCAAACCCACATAGTCAGTACTGGATCTGGCCCTCAAGGTACCTAGATTCCTCACCCAGAAAGACAGTCCCTCACTTCTTCCAAAGGGACTTTCAAGGCAAGTAACTACCTATACTACCTTCCTAACCATTGGGGGGGGGGGGAACAGTGCACAATTTTCAAGCAATCGGTTGGAGATAGGCTTGAAGAAGAGGAAACCTGGGCAGCTGTTATAGAGGGAATGGTGTTCCCATTCTCCCACTGGCCTGGCTACCTCTATGTCCAGAAGTTACTGATAGTACTCTGGTCTGCTTATTATTTATTTGATGATTCCCGGATTGCATTCAAGTCTTAGCACATGCGAGGTTGCATACTATCACTGCACTTTGTTGCCAGCCCTCTTTCTACTTCGAGATGATGGTCTCATTAAATTGCTCAGGCTGATATTTAATCCGTGATCTTCCTGCTTCCATCTCCGGAATCTGGATTAAATCTCTCAAGGGAAAGCCAGGATTTTCCCCTGATGCCAACATATGAACTGTCTGTTGGATATGTGTGTCTACTTAGAGCTCTCTGGGCATCTGGAACTAAATAGATCCGACATTTGTTTTAGCACTTCCCCCAACCCCTTCGAACTTCTGCCTTCCTCTACTCAACCAAGGCACCAGCTAGACAAGGTTAAAAAATGGCAATCGTGGCACTTTCAGGGGGTTCAGTCTCTACTATCAGAGGCAGACATCCCTGCGCAGGCCTGGTGAACAGTCATGGGTAAGTTTCCCTCCTGCCCACCTCCACTGCTCACTCATCCACACTATCCCCCTGGAGAGTTGTTTGCTATGAAAACTACAAGGTCTCAGTGGGTGCCAAAGCCTCAGAGCACCAACGGAAAAATCACCACTCCATACTCTAGCCTGCTCAGGCTTCCTGAGACCCGCCCAGAGATGACGCGTACTGCAGGGCTGGCCTCCACGTGGAGATCTGCTAATTTCTAGGAGGAGCAGAATTGTCTGAGAGCAAAGACCAATTCTGAGAGGGAGGCGGAGCCCAGGGGCGGGGCTCCAGGCTCCGCCCAAGGCCCGGTTTTCCGCCTAGCAGAACTGGTGCTGCACAGCTGGGACCCTCACACCGGTGCAATGGATGTGTCATGGGCCACGCAAGAGAGTGAGGCAGTGGCGGAGAAGGTGCTCCGGTACCGACGGGACGAGTCGGGCTGGAAGAAGTGCCGGGAAGTCGTGAGTGAGGAACTGGGCGGGAAAGGGATCCGGAGAGGGCTCCTGGAAGCTGAAGTCCTCCCATCTCCCAGGCTTCTCCTCTCCCTGTCATTTTCTGCACCCCAGCCCCCGGAGGTGGGTTGAAAGAGCTATTCCACTGAGGTGGCTGCTCTCTGGGACTCCTGGAGATCCCTAGCGCTTTCAATGAGAACACATTCAAGGTCACCTGACTGGTATGAGGTTAGGATTGGACCTGAAACTCCAAGTACTAAGTCTTTCTTTCCTCTGTTCATAGTACAATCCCTTCTCCCAGAGAGTGTGAGGCAAGTTTTCTTCCTTGATGCTTCTGATTTTTTTTTTTAAACAAATATTCCTAAATTGCTTAAGGAAACAAAAGTTCTTGGTGGCGTTTAAGGAGGTTGGGGAACCTCCCACAACTCCTGAAGCCAGCCAGCCAGGATCCCTCTGCTCATCACCTGCTGTGGGGGCAGCTACATCCATGACTAATCCCAGCTGTGCCAAGAATGGGTTGGGTGACCTTGGAAAACCATGTCTTGAGATCTCGTCTCCGAGACTTCCTCTAGCTCTAAAATTCTACAATTCTGTGCCTTTTGACAGAATGGAGTTTCAGTTTCCTGGAGGCCATCTGAGGAGTTTCCAGGGAATCTGTAAGTGCACACCTCTAACAAAGCTTATCACAGCCTGGACTCCCTTCCTGGTTTCTCTGGGGTTGCTTCATGAAAGATTCCAACTCACCCTGGCCCTCTGGGAATCAGTCATCTTCCAGAAAAGCATTAGCTTGTCTTCTGAATGGTTTCTAGCAAGCTGTATTCTATGAGGGCTTAGCACCTGTTGGTGCAGGCTGGAGGGGAGGTGAGCTAGCGTATTTTAGCCTCTTTTCTGTCAGCTGGCTCTAGAACTAGGACAGACATGTAATGGACTTGAGGTAAAATCCTAAAATAAGCAGGTTAAATTGATGCCTTGGGTCAAATTCCTCTCCATGTTCCAGGTACCGAGGAGAAGGGATTCTGTGTGGGACACCAGAAGAGGTGTGGAATTGCATAAAGCCAGTTGCTGGAGGTCTCCGGGAGAAGTGGGATGACAACGTGACCAGTTTTGAAATTGTCCAAAGCATCACAGATGTAAGTGTCTCTGCCTATGTTATCTTTAGTGTCTTATCCTGTTATCGAGAGTGCCTGTCCTGCTGCAAGACCCTGACCCCATGTCCTCTGAAGAGGGATCTATAACACTTATAGGCAAGAGGAGTGCCCTGCACACCATCCAGCCTTGGCCCTCTGGAAACAGTGTGACTTTGAAGACCAGAAATCCCCACCAGAGCCAGGGCACTCCTAGCTGCTGGGGCAGGCCTGGGCTCCCCCAGCACCGAGGCAGGCCTAGATTTAGACTACCAGATCTAGTTTGAAGCCTTGCCTTTTGAGAGAGCCTTTGTCCACAGGAGGAAAACTGCATGTGGTCACTTCTGGATTGCAGTGTCTGTGATAGGAATGTATGCACCCACAGCCCAGCCCAGCAGATGCCTTGCTATATGGCAGCATTGTTCTGCAACTGCCCTGTCTAGAGTGGGAGCCTCAAGTTCCCACAGGGCCATGGAGCATGAAAAGGTGGCTGGTCTGAGGAAATGAATTATTCAGTTAACAAACCTAAATGTAAATTTAAATAGCCACATGAGCAAGGGGCTGTTGCAGCAGACAGCTACAGTCTTGATGAGCCTGCCCTGGCATCATCTGTAAGTTTAAGATCTTGAAGCTCAGGAGAATAGAAAGTCACAGTGAAAATGCATGCACGAGCCACTCTGGGGAGGCTAAGCTGTGTAGTTTGGATAGCATCTTAGTGCCACTGCCTGGGACCTCTCTGGCACTGTCTGGTGCTGACATAAGCAGGTGGCATTGTGAACCCTCGGTGTTTTGCAGCTGGCCGAGCTGTGGAGCCAGGTGTCTTTATGCTGGCCTCATTTCGGTTGGGTCTGTTGTCCGTGGGAGTTTGTCAGACTTGTTTGAAGGCTGGGACAGAAATCCCTGGGAAGAAAGGTAATCTGATGTCCTTGTCAGTCAAAGATGGAATCAAAACACACAATGAGGCTGGTGCACTTCCAACCCTTCTTTCATCCCTCTGATACCAGTAAGAGGAGAGCAGATCTCAGGCACTTGCGTGCCTCTGACACTCCTTAACTCATGCTGTCCCTTACTATGAGACCAATAGGTAGCCTGGGCTGGGCATGCAATTTATCTTTAATTTGTGACAAGTGATTTTTCCTTCCTCTCTACAGTTTTTCATTTGTAATACTTAAAAAAAACTTCGTTTAGAACCACAATAAATGGATATGATTTTCTTCTTCTGGATTAAGTGTCACCAGCACAAGAAAAGAATTCAAAGAGAGAATGCAAATAACAATCCAAAACATGGTTAAAGTTTAGCAACCCTTGGTTAATGTCTTTTATATACAATGCAAATATTATAACTGAAGGACTTGCATATATGTGTGGGGGTATATGTGTATGTATGCATGTTCATGTGTGTGTTCAGTCCCAAGCAGTGTCTCCTGTAGTTATTCTCTGCTTTATAGATTGAGGCAGAATCTCTTGCTGAATCTGGAGCTTGCAGTTAGAGCCAGCTAGCTCCAGGGACTTCCTGCCTCTACCTCTCTTCTGGGATTACCACTCCCCATCCAGCTTGTATGTAGGTTCCATGGAATCTAAGTACCAGTCCTCATACTTGCAAAGCAACCACTTCACCCACTAAGCCATCCCCATAGCACTGCACATCATCTTTTGGAATTCGAAAGTGGCTCCATTTCCTGAGCATATTTGCACCTCTAGGTCTCAGGCCAGTGCTTGGTGGGAAAGCCATAGGCTGAGCAACCATATGATGGCTGACCCATCAGTGCTGTTAAGGCAGGTATTGGATGTTCTGTTCCTGGCTACATCAAAGCAGGAGCTGGCTCCCTGCTGTCATAGTGCTACTTCTCACCTTCACATCAGTTCCAGTTCTGGCTTTATCTCTCTGCTCCTCCCACAGGGGACATTTTTCTCCAGTGCTGCTTTCTAGGCACCACATGTCCCCAATACACATGCACTCACTTGTGAGGAATTCTCTTCAGTGCATGTTGTTCTTGCCTTCTTTGTCAGCTCTCCAACATGGTTGAATGGTTGGTGCTAGCGGGGCTTTCTGGCTCCTCTGGAGACCCTGGCTTGTCCATGCCTGTGCCTGTTTCCCTGTGTGGGATGGATGCTGCAGATAACACAGACACCCTCACCCTGGTGCATCCATTTCCCTGAACGGGCTGGGCCAGTGTCAGTGCCAGCAACCCCATATCCCCTGCCTGAACCCAGCCAGCCTTCTGATGCATGAGTCTGCAAACTTTTGGCTTGTGTTTCTTCTAACAGATTTTTGGAAAATTATGTCTCATCCCAACACATGTCATTATCTAACATTCAGTTCACAGCTTAATTTTCCTAAAGGGTGAAGCCTAGATTTGTGATGCATACTGTTTCTTAGTTTTGAACAAAGCAATGGCATTTAGTTCTGTCTAAATAATATTGGATTTTATTTATTACATCCCATTTTTAAAATGGCTCATACCTGTAATCCCAGCAGCCAGGAGGTGAGGCATGAAGATCATAGGGTTGGGGACAGCCAGACTACTTAGGAGCTCCAGGCTAGGCAGGGTTGCATTTCAATTCAATAAACAAAGCAAGCCACCAACAAGAAGAAGTAAATGTTTCTGAATCAGAGTATAATTATTTTCCTTGAACTGCGTTTTACGCAGCACAGCACACTGAGGGTTTTTGTTTGTTTGTTTGTTTGTTTAAGACAGGGTCTCTTTATATAGATCAGGCTGAGCTCACAGAGATCCATCTGCCTCTGCCTACCAAGTACTGAGACTACATGCTAATACAACCAGGCCCAGCATCTCACTCCGTTTTATCCCTCACGTAATGCATGTATTTCCTTGGACATCACCAAATCTTATTAGAGTTATTCATGTATATTGGAAAAAACTTTTTTAATTATGTAATTCTTTTTATCACAAGACTTAAAAAAAAGAGCTGGACTGAGAAGGTATGAGTGTAATGTATTTAGCTAAAATAATTACATTTGAAAATTTGAATGAAGAATGGCTAAACACAAAGAGAAAAAGTATTTCTCATCTCTGCATGAGATGTGTGGGAACTCTTTGTTCTCATTAATTCACGTGTCCCTGGAAATATTTGGCTTGTTGCCAGAGACACACAGCCTTCAGCAGACACTAGACACAGGAAAGAAAGCACAGGCTGCTAGGGAACATAGTAATTCTAAAAAGCAGAGAAGCCAATGAGGAGCAGGATCATGTTCCGTAGGAGAAACAGGGCTGGTAAGGGGCAAAGACCCTTTCTTTCAGGTGGCATTCATCGGTGTGATTTGGATAGCTCACAAGCACCCTAATTCTTAATAGATAATGGGTAATTGTTGTATGGATGAGACAGGAACCTGGAGTGAACTTGTGTCTATAACAAGTGACTCTGTCTTTAGTGTTCTTAAAAATAAACTCTTCTCTTGGGCTCCAGATGGAATCAGAAGCAGATGTTACACGATTACTTCTACCATGCCTGCTATAAGATAGGGAGTTTCAGAAATGAACTCGTGTTTTGGACTGTGCTTAGGGGAAACTGACATTCTGAGCCCAGTATGTGGCACCATGACCAAATATTCCAGTTGGCATTCTTGCAGATTGTAAGCACCACAAGGGATTGTATCCTGGGCAGTGAATCTAGGATGATACTAGATGGATAGGGGAGAAGAACCTCTTTGCAGACACACACCATTCTCATGTAAGTTTGTCTTTAAAACAAAACAACAACAACAACAAAAACATGGAGATGAAGTCATTTGGCCTCAGTGCACCCACTGGAAAGTGCCCAAGTGCCCTGGGCTTCTTTGGGTTCTCCTGCTTGCAGCTCCCTACACTCCTGTGTATGAGATGGATTTGTCTTCAGTAGATCTGAGCCTGCTTTGTTTCATCAGGTGCTGTGTGTAAGCAGAACATCCACACCCTCGGCTGCCATGAAGCTGATTTCTCCCAGGGACTTTGTGGACTTGGTGTTAGTGAAGAAATATGAGGATGGCACCATCAGTTCCAATGGTAAGGGACAGTGAGTATCTGCTGGCTGTCCTAGATGCAGGCTTTGTCTTTTTTTTTTTTTTTTTTTTTTTTTTTTTTGCAGTCTTTGTCTTATGCACCTCTAGATCATCCAGGACAGCTGGGTGATTAGGAACCATCAGCTAGCTCATGTGTTCCATCTTCTCCCCTTGTAGAATTGAGATTATTTTATACAAGAAGGTATGAAATGGGGAGACCAAATGCCTGAGCTTTCTAATGCCTGGGCTTTATTACATCCCAGATTTTGTCAGCACTGTTTGTATTCCTGCTGAACTCATGTCATCAACATACAGATTGCAGATAACCTCTTGTATGTCAGTGTGTGGAGTTCATAGAAGCATCCTAATCACATGATTGCTTTCTGCCCATTCGTGCCCTGTGGGAAAAGAGCCCCGAAATTCCTCTGCATTTCCTCTAGGGGAAGATGGGGGACACATCCTTACTTCGGTGGACTGAAATTTGAGAGAAGAATCTTTCTCTTCCTACCCTGAGCCTTATATTCTGGAATGTTTTTTCTTCTGAAATTCTTAAAGGGTTGGAGAAAACTGTGTGGGAGTGAATGCATGTGTTTGCATACACCTGTGCATGCTTGTTTGTGTGTGGTGGGGTGTGTGTGTGTGTGTGTGTGTGTGTGTGTGTGTGTGAACTGGATGTAGGCATAAGGAAATTGACAGGTAGCAGAGCAGAACCCTTTGCTAGCCTGCTGGACTTTGGTTGTTGGGCCTGTGCAGATGGGGGACCCTTCAGGGATGGTAGGGGTGACCCTTCTGACTGAAACTGAATCCACTGACCTCATGTCTTCTAGCTACCCACGTGGAACATCCACTGTGTCCTCCAAAGCCAGGTTTTGTGCGAGGATTTAACCATCCATGCGGGTGCTTCTGTGAACCGCTCCCAGGGTAAGAAAGTGGGTGGAGGACTTTGTCCCAGACCTAACTGCAACACCTCTGTGAACCCAGAAAACAGGCACTTTGATGGTAATCCACAAAAATAACTTCCATGTTACAACAGGCATTGTCACACACATGCACTCAGTGATGTGATGTGCCATTGTGGGTGGTTCCTGGGAAAGCTGTAAGGAGGAGTCTCTCCCGCCCCCACAGGACAGGTCAATCAAATGTCCCAGTCACACTGAGCAAATAAGGAAACTGTGGCTTAGATGAGAGATGTGTCCATGGTCAAAGGCCAGGGGTGTAGTGCAGTGCCTGAGCTCTGAATCTTCCGTATTCTGTAAGGACACCCACCAGACTAGAGTGGCTACAGGGACAAATTCCCCACCCTATGTTGTACCTAGTGACCACTTCTCCTTTACAAGAAATGGGACAGTTCCAAGATCATGTTGTGAATCAGCCCTGGAAAGGAGCTGAAGGGCCCTGAGTACACTTACAGACAACACTTACAGACACAGCCAGGATCTTGCCAGGAGCTCTGTGGGTAATGAGTTACCTGAAAGTCACAGATTTAACGAGGAGAGGGTTTGCACCTGCTGATGAGGCCCTGTGTTTCCTGCAGACAGCCAGAGGGGAAGGTGTCGGCTTCCTCATGCAGTTCCAGGAAGCAGGTCTCCATGACCAGGATATTACTAAAACCCAGACAGAGCACTCCATCAGAACACTGTGTCTGCTAAAGCTGGCTCTCCAAACATCTCTTGGAGGGCTTCTCTTAAATGTCACAAAATGTTGAGTTTGACAGCAGTAAAGCCATGCTTCAGCATGCACACATGCACACAACTTGAGTTCCAGTACTGAGGAGGCCAGACTCACTGGCTTGGGCCTAGGAAATTACTGTTGACCACTTTCCTTTCTCTCTTCCCAGCAGTCAGGCTGAGACCTGTTTTGCCTTTCTAGCTTGCCAGGAATATTGCAGCAGAGTGTCTGAGAGCAGAGCCCTTTCTCCTTGAGGCTGAATCTCAGGGCTGGTTTAGGGAATACCCAGTATGCAAGCTTTAGATCATGTAACAGTGGTGATGGCCCAGGGCCCTCAGACAGGGTGGGTAGAATGAAGAGGTTATTTAACTAGCCTAAGATTACAAACCAGCAAGTGATAAGGCCACAGCTTAAGCCCAGGCATCTGTCTTCCATAGTGACTGTTTTTTCTGTGTTTAAAAAAAAAAGACATAAGAAAAACACCTGTTCTGTAAGGCCTTAATTCTGATGGGCAGGAGAAGATAAACAAGGCACAAATGAAAGTAATTATGTTATATGTACACTAGGAAGTACTACATATTAAGTGCTGTGTAGAAAACTAAAGGATGATGAACGGACCTGGGGTAGGATGGGAGTGACCCAGGAGGTCAGCAAACACCTCCCTGATCAGAGCCTCACAGATCAGGGGCAGATGCAGGGTCCCTCTGAGTGGAAGCACATGTGTGTACAAGGGAAACTGTGGAAGGAAGCCACTGAGTTGGATCAGGGGAGAGGCCAGGAACTACAGTCATTGGGGAAGCAGGGCCAGACCCTGCCAGAGACTGTTGTCTGAGTAATGGAGTTTTAGAGAGGTCTGAGCAGCCATGCCAGGACTTCAGTGTAAGCTGCTCTGATGTGCCCAGAGTAGATGGAACTGTGAATCAAAGCACTGGGGAGTAAAGCTGTGTCCTGCCCAGGATGGAGGTGGCTAGACTCAGACCGTCTGTGATAGAGGGAAAGCTGTCTGGGAGGACAGGGGTGTGTTTGGAGGAGGCAGCATCAGAGCTGCGTTTGTGGTACACCTATGGTGCATTCAGGGAACATTCTTCGTGCTCCACATGCGTTCTGATGGGTGGACATGTCGGGACAAACTCTTGGCTCACTCTGTGAGGGCAGTCACGGTGCCCCTGGGCCTCCTTTTAGCCACTTTGGCTTATCCCATGGGTCTCTCCCTTTGTAGCTACCTCTCCTGTGATGCTGTGCTATTAAGCCCAGGGCTCTCCTGAGAGAAATGTGGTCACTAACTCAGATTTCCTACTTACCTGTTCAAGTTTCCAAAGGGAACACAGCAGAGTGATAATGAGGGGTGGCCTGAGCCCACTCCAGGAGACACAGAGGGGTGGCCTTAGCCCAGAAGAGGAGGTGTGGGGGAGACATAGAAATATGTCCCCATAATTGGTAGGAGGTGGTGAAGGAGGGAGAAGATGCAATCTGAGGGAGCTCCACCCACAGACCACCACCACCACCACCACTACAAGGGTAAAGAGTTGCCATTCTAGAGCAGTTCAGGTACTCCTACATTGCTCATCAGCTTGCACTGTCCTCTTGAGGCCTCAGTAGCTGTCTGGGAGGTAGGAAGGCCTGTAGAGTCTTCAATACCAGAAGTTCCACATCAGAAAACCTCTGAGGTGCCATGTTGTGTGGAGTTTCTGATGAGACCAAAGTTGTGGACAGCATCATTTAGATAAAATGCCACATGGTGGGGACGGGGGAAATGCCACTCTTGGTTTCTCCAAACCTGACCACTGCAGAGTTTGTGACCATGAGGAGCCTTCTAGGTTCCTGTTTGGTCATGCCCCAGTTCCTCTTTTGTGTGGAATCTGATTTTAGCTTCTGGATTAACCCTGTTGCTACTTCACCAGTAGGTGGGACCCTGCATTTGGGCTTCTGCTAACCCTTGTCAAAGTCTCCTCACATGTGTAGAAACTAGTCCTCAGTTCTCTTTAAAAAAAAAAAATCAAAATCTGAATGTAAGTTTCCATTTTCCCCCTAAAATATGATTGAAGATTTCACAAGACTCTAGTCCATATAAATTGTAGTTACCATGATGTACTATATTTTGAATTAAGATTGAACAATCTAAAAAAAAAATCTATTCAATAAACAGTAGCAAATGAATTGCATGCCAAGTAACATTTTATAAAGAAAAATCCGCTTTTCTAAATAAAAACTAAGAATGGCAGTCTTTTCCAATTTCTTTCATGTCAGACTTAATAAACATACCTGTGACAGTGTGTGCTGTGGGGTCACAAGTCATAGGCTGAAAACTCCACTGTGTGTTCATAGTAATTTGGCATGGAAAGAGTTTTAACTTTGTTGACCTGGAAAGGACCCAGAATGACCCAGAAGTCCCCAGCCATCAAAAACACAGCTGTTAATAGCCACAAGGAACATCGCACATGTCCCACCCAGGGTGTGGCACCAGTCCCCCAATGTGTTTGTAGTGGGCTAGGCAGTGAGTCCCCTAAAAATATGTCATCATCCAGAACAAGGTTGAGAAGAGCCCTGGGCACTGAGTCTGGAGCAGGAGTAGAAATGAACACGGTGCCTGGGCCACTCACTTCTGCGGTCGTGGCTCTGGCCTGGATGCTTCTATGGTACAGATCTAACCCACCACTGCTGTTTCTTTCTCAGGGAGCCTAACAAAACCAAGCTGGTCACATTCTTCCAGACAGACCTGAGTGGCTACCTCCCTCAGAGTGTGGTAGACTCCTTCTTCCCTCGCAGCATGGCTGAGTTCTACCCCAACCTTCAGAAGGCAGTGAGGAAGTTCCATCACTGACACAGTCGCCTATTGGCAAGAAATGCCCTTCAGGAGCTCCAGCTGTTGAGTCTCAAAGAACACAGAAGAGCTCCTGTGGCCTCTTGAGATGCCCTAGTGAATGGGAAGTCTCGGGGAGCAAGCCTAGGACAGCACTCCCTTTCCCCCTCACACCCCTCCTTCCTCTTGGGCTTGGTGTGGAAGGAGCTGTCCATCAGTTTGCAGTGGGACACACACCACACCACACACATACACACACACACACACACACACCTAGGCTTGGTGTGGAAGGAGCTGTCCATCAGTTTGCAGTGGGACACACACCACACCACACACACACACACACACACACACACACACACACACACACACACACCTAGGCTTGGTGTGGAAGGAGCTATCCATCAGTTTGCAGTGGTACACATGCCACACCCCACACACACACACACACACACACACACACACACACACACCTAGGCACACACCTAGGCTTGATATGGAAGGAGCTGTCCATCAGTGCAGTGGGACACACACACACACATACACACACCTGACAAGGCAGGTGTTGCTGTGGTCACCTAACACAGACATGGCTCAAGCACCCTTTGGTTCCTTGTGGTCCAGGGCCCTGTGGGTTGCTGTCAGATACCTCATCTCTCTGTTGGTCTTAGAGAATCGTTGTCTACCCTGGTCACTAAGTCCTCTGGCATCTGGAGCTCCCAGACTTCTGCACCAGACTCCTGTGTTCATTTTGTGATACAATTTTATATACAAATTCTTAACACAAGATTTTCCCTCCCTTGCAAAGATGTTAACTTGGAAAATATGTTTTAAAGCACAGAATAAGCCTTAAGGAAAAACACTTTCTACCTAATGTTTGTTGTATCTTCCATCAGAATTGTCTTTTCCTGTCTGTCCCTTCATGAGTTAATGTTCATGTCCCCATGAAACCAGTTTGAATCTGCCCCAGCCAAATTGTGTCTTTGGGAGGGAGTGGGAGTTCTTGTGTCCTGTGTGAGTGATTCTGAGTGGGGCCAGCTGCTCCCGTGTGCATGGAGGACTCTGGGTAGAAGAGCCCCCTGGCACATACCTCACTCTGTCCTCAGTCATAGGGGTGAGGCAAGAGTGCTCTGGTCCCCTGGCCCCGTCAGGCCTTGCTGCCATTAGGAAGGAAGGACAAGTAAGTCTCCAGTTCTGTGGGACTGCACCAGCCTACAGTATCTAACAATTGCCACAAAACCTGCCATTCCAGTATGCTGTCTCCTTAGCTTTTCAAATACATTTAGGTTCCTGCTTTTCATATGAAGAAAGGAGAGATCTCTGTTGTCTGACATTGTGATTGCTTAAAGACTTCAGAGACGTGGTGCCCCTCACAGTCCTGACCTCTTCTCCCCTTTAATAGCTTTTAATAATTCCTCTACTCTTCCTCTAGTTGTCCCTCACATCATTTCGGGGGTGGGGGAGATCTAGTCAAAGGGCTCCTTTGGACACACTCTGTCTGCATCTACTGGTTTTCCTGTTGTTGCACTGTTCCTGGGGTTTGCTGATCTCCTGTTGTCTCTCTTCTGGTTTTGTCTCCGTATCAAGCCTACTTGCTCTACCATTCTTTTGGAGGTGATCAACCTTGTTTTTTGAAACAGACTTTCTCATTGGACCAAAACTCACCTAATAGGCTGGGCTGGATGCCCAGCGAGTTCCAGGGAACTGTCTTTCTGCTTCCCCAGGTCTGACATTACAAGCGAATGCCACCACACCTGGTTACCTGGTTCTTTCGTTTCCATTTGTCTGTTTGCTTGTTTTGTTTTATTCGGTTTTGTTTTTCTGGCCTCTCGAGTTATCATGTTTGCAAGCCCTTTCCTGACAGTTGTCTCCCCAGCCCCATTCCTTTTATTGTTAGATCAAATTTAACTTCTAATAGATCTAAAAGGCCAATAGGAATGGTAGCCTGAATTCTTCATCTATTTGTCTGCTATAGGACAAATGCCAAGTGGGCTGGAGAAGTAAGCATGCCAGCTCCTGTACCAGGCTGTCATTTCTCAGAGTAGTTGAGACTGAGCTATGCAAGAGTCACTGAAGGGTTTTGCATGAAGAGAAGAACCCAATGAGGTCTTCTGAGTCCACTTCAGATTCTGGAGAGGCCAGCAGGTTACACTGGCAAGTTCCCATTGGCAGTGCCATGAAATAGATTGTCTCTGGTGTTTTGCCTGTGACACTTGCCAGGCTTTCCTATGTCATCCTTATTTCATGGGAACAGAGGAGTGGGGATGAGGATCTGAACTGCTGGACCAAACCTACTAAACCATACTTGCTGTGGATTATCAAGACTCATATTGAGTTGTCCTGAGCTTGGCTACCAGACATTCAAAGATGACCAAAGCAAATACTCTATTGGCCGTGTACATGCTACAAACAGGCTAGGAAGGTGTCTTCCCTAGTGTGCTGTTTTAAAGCTCCTGGGCCTGCTCATGTCTACCAGGTCACAGAAGGAATGACAATCTCTACCCTACCACATCCCAATCAGACAAGCTACCCATTGTCCTGAGGCTCAGTACCTTCCAGTACACTGGCACAGGACCGCCATCGGTGAAGTGGTGGTGATCACACAGGATGTCATTTAACATCAAGCAGAGTGTCTGACATGTGACAGATGGGACATCAGTAGTAATTTGTATTTTATAAGCATATGCACGCTGGTTCATTCTGTGAACGCATCTGTCCACACCTTAACACACTCTAATCTCCTGGTCCCACCCCTTCTAGGATCACTTCTCAACCCAACCAAACAGTCTTGGAAGTGTTTGAAAGTGTTTTTCATGACAGGCTGCATCTTACAAAAATGTTCCTGACAACATATCCCTTTTCCTTGAACCCAGGCAAACACCTGCTTGGGTTTGGGTTTTTTGTTTTTGTTTTTGTTTTGCCTGCTCTCAGTGGGAGTACAATGTAAGCAATGCCATTTAAATTGATGCAGCTCCTGCCTGGCTATGGTGTGTGCACCAGGCAGCCCGGCATCATGATATAGAAGCCTAGGCCATGAAGAGATGTTTCAGTCATCACTCAGCACCAGCAACCAGAGGCACAAGCAGTGACCCTTCCTAGGACCCCAGCCCAGCCTTGAGTTGCTATAGATGATACTTAGTGGGCTCAAAAGGAGCTCCAAGTCCTGCCTATCCTACAGATTCATAAGATAAAACTTGCTGCCATGGGATGGCTTTCACAGTACCTGGGTAATGTTCAAATCAGGACATGGGTTTCATAGAAAACTGCAATGCATCCATTTTATTTTGGCACCAGAATAGTATCACTAAGCTATCTCTATACAGTTTGCAGTTTGAATTAGCCACCTTTGTGTGACTCTGTCTTGACATTTACAGCAAACCTCTTGGTGGGCAGTGTCCAAACCTGAGCAGCAGCTACCAGTAATACACCTGGGCTTTCCCCAGCCTGGGTGAGGTGGGCAGCAGAGACCCTGAGAATCAGCAGTGACAGAGCTTCGTGCTCCACTTTGTTGTAGCATCAGCACCCTGTCTAGGAGTCCCCAGAAGACGACATCTGCTTGCTTTGGAGGCCCTTCCTTCGGATGACTACAGTGACAGGCCCATCTGGCAATGACTTGATGACATTCCAGGCTTCAAACCGAGTAAGACCTTGCACGACAGTGCCAGCGAGCTGCAAGATTTCATCTCCTGGCTGGACTGTCTCGCTCTGTTCTGTCCCTATAAAGGAGGGGAACATGACAGGTGATTCTGGGCTCCACAGACAGCAGGAAGAAGAAAAGGCACCTTTAAGAAACCAGGTCAGCTAAGTGGATCACACACCCATCCCTGAGAGCTTGTCAGTGTTTCTAAAGTGAGCCAAGGTAGCTCAGAGCTTGGACACCAGACTCGGTTCTGTTTTCAAGTGAGGAGATGGCAGGCAGCCCCAATCCAGAGCCCAGTGAGAGACTTTCACAATTTCTAGAAAAGCCCTGGGGCTCCCGGTCCTTCCTGACTCCCTTTATCTATCCTATCTCATGCTGACTCCCTTCTTCTGGTAACATCATCAGCAATGGGTGGGAAGGGGTGTGAGCTAGTGAAACATTCCTGGAGCAATCTACACAGAGATCTTGGCTAGTTTGGCTTGGCAAGAACTCTGGGTCCACACAGAAAGACATAACCCTGCATGGCACCCACTCAGTCAAAGATGCATACAGAAACCACATCTTCTTTTACTGATCATATTGAAGGGAAACCTCCCATTTATCAGACACCTTTGGCAGTAATGAATATAGAGCATAAAACAACAATGGAAATATAGTAAAGAACATTGAGCAAATACCACAGTGGGCATTGACTCACATGTTCTGTACTCATGTATCTTGGGGGTACATACCAATAGACTTCCTTTTTACAGGTGTGGAGACCAAAGATGGAGAACCTCAGGCATAACTTGAAAGTGTCTCAGTTTTAGGGTCTAGGTTTGAACTCTAACCTCCAGGTTCCACACCTGCCTGTGGCTGGAGGCTCATTCCCATGTGTGCTTATGGCCCCAAAATAGTGAAGTGCCTTGCCCAAGGTCCTGACATTGGACATGGTGAAATTGACATTAGGACCCAGGTCTCTCAACTTTGGCTCCTTCGAGAGCTGAAAGCATTTCCCCAGAGCTGCAGTTAACATGGACACTTGGAGTTAATTACCACGTATGACTCAGTCTGCCCACTGGGTTTCCATCAATGCTGCAGAACTTAAAATCAGCTAGCTATGAAGGCTCATGAGGACAGGTATTGGGGATGGGATGTTCTTTGGATTCCAGTTCTAAAAGCTCCCAGACACACACCCATATTTTCTACCTCTTCTTGTCAATAAGTAACCTCTAGACAGGTAAAAAATGGTCACCTAAAAAGTTAGAGATAGGGCTGAGGCTACACCCAGAGCCTGGCCTCTTTCTCCACATCCTGTGTTCCCTTGCCCAAGGCTTCCACCTATCGGCAAGGGGTTGCCGATAGATTTGCATGATAGCTACAAGTTGTTCATAATTTTCTCAGTAAAATCCATATCCAGCTAACCAACATGTCAGATTGTCTGGCAGCCCAGTTCATAAGGAAGAAGACATCAACTGGAAAATTAACACAAGAATCAGTGAATCCAAGACTAGAGTAAAGCTAGCCAGGCTGTGAGACAAGGCTGCCAGCCTCTGGCTTTTCTCAAAACATTGGCATCTGATGCATCAAGGATTGGTGGGTTGGTTTGAGACAGACTCAATCACCCAGGCTGACCTTTTATTCATTATGACATTAACCTCCTGAGTGCCTGGTGCGATCACAGCTGTATAACTTTTAATATTAATATTTATTTTAAGTACATTGTGTGGAAATAGTATTGGCCTTTTCTCACTGCACCTTTTGGTGATCCTCAACTCTGTGCCTCAAGCCAGAGCCTTCCTTGTCTCTTCCTGTCCTTAGTCCTGAGAAGCTGAACCAAGCCTGTTGTGAGATATTTGTTCACTGTGTGAAAGTGTGTTGCTGTGAATGGTTTAATAAAGAGCTGAATGGCCAATAGCTAGGCAGAAGGTATAGATGGTACTTCCAGACAGAGAGGGGAAGTAAAATGAGATCATTGAAGTGCGGGGGAGATGCCAGGAGACACAGAGAGAAACCAGGAAGTGCAAGATGGAAGAGAGGTTACACCACATGATAGAATGTAGATTAACATAAATGGGTTAATTTAAGTTATAAGAGATAATTAGGAACAAGACTAAGCTATAGGCCGAGCTTCATAGTTAATAATAAGTTTCTGTGTCATTATTTGGGAGCTGGCTAGCAGAACAGAGAGGACTCATTACACAAGCCCAGTGCTCGGTCATGTGAGAGGACCCAACAAAAAAGAGAAGTAAAGG